ATGATTTCTCATTTGGGAGACGAAAATAATGTTCATATACAATCTTACTACAAGTTCAATATTTGATAAAAATATAAAATAATTTAAATGAAAAAAATTTCTTATAAAAATTACACAAATAACTCTAATTATATGTTAACTATAAAATAAAAATCACTTAAAAAAATACAAAATAAAGACATGTTTTAACAATCACTCATGTTAAGATTGAAAATATTTAATTTACTAAAATTAATTATTGATTAATTACTGTGGGATATTTCGTTCAATAAAAAAATTATTATAAAAATAAATTTTAAATTTTTTTTAAAAAATAAAAAGATATAATAAAATTTTAAAATTTTTAAAAAAAGGGACGCCACTTAATTACCTTTGCTCGTCAAGATGACTGAGCCTTTGTTGGCTTGTAGCTATCTCTCTAAAGAGCTGCTTTTCTGCAGCCAAATTACTACCTCCATGTAACATCCAACATTGAAAGCCCTGCAATTGTTTCAGTAGTCCTCTGAAACACCAAAAAGAAGGAAAAGAGCAAAGATCAGTGGATTTTAAAGTGCAACCTAGTCCAATGCTACAGTAAAGCCGGTCCTTACGTCCTGCCGGGAAGATTGACTTACTGGGTCCTCCTTTCTGTGCAATCTTGGAAAAATTCAGCTTGTCCAAAGCTACTTGCAGATAATCCAACATGATTTTTTGCCACTCCAATCCGTATGAAATGCTTGATGAACGATTGTATAGGTGGTCTAGTTGTGAGCAAACATTCTCACCTTTTGCCTGTCCACGAAACCCAGAGGAAAAAAATAAAGTTCTTTGAAATCAATTTTTTATTACAGCTCCGCACTCCATCAAATTTGGATTAAAATTAACGTGAAAAAATATTCAGACTGATATGATTTAAATAAGTTTTGAAATAATAGAAATTACGAGGTAAAATTTTTCAATGAACATTGTGTACAAGTGACATTTATTATTGATATATCATTTTTATTTTTTTTAGTATAATACTTAAAAAAGTCTCTAAACTATTTAAGAATATTCAAATAATTTTTTATTTTTTTATTACATTGAATTAAACTTATGTATTTTTATTTTAAGTCAAATAATCTCTTGTGACTAATTATTAACTAATTATCATTAGTAAAAATATTATTTATTATTTTATATATATATGACACTGATATGATATTGATGTGGGGAATGAAAAATGTCACATGATCATATTATCATATCAAATTAATATGTCATGTCATTATTAATTATAATATATCAACATATCACATCATAATCTCTTTCAATTTTAAAAATTAGAATTTGTTGCACAGAATTAGCTTCCAAGTAGTTCGTTGCCATCATTTTTAAACTCTTCTCATCAGATGGCTAAATCTAAGAGATTCATTAGAAGTGATTATGTATATACATGCAATGCAAAGAGAAAAGGAAAAAGTTCATCATCAACATGAAAACAAGTGATAAAGGCGTAGATTCTTACCTTGGACATACTCGATATAGCCCTTCAAACTCAAGAAAAAATGATTGCTAAGTGCCCAAAATCATAAGCCGACTGTATTCGCAAATACTTAAAAGATCATGAATACAAATACGATGGTCAAGTTTAATCCTCAAGCCCTTGCATCCCACGCCAAGTCATGAGTCAACCCATTGCCAGCACCTTGTCACGACATTTTCTTTAATAAATTCTCTTTTTAAAGATATTTTATTGTTATTTTTAATTTAAGCTCAATTGGTCAATCTTTTTGAGCGACTCTTAATGATGAACATGTGCGATTGTCTAATAAAGCCATTCTTTCTGATTTAATGGTACACAAGTTTATATTATCAATTAGAACTGACAGATAATGATTGCTTACTGTCAATTACGATCATATAATGCAAAAGAACATGAATTGCTTTGGAATGCTAAATATTATAATGTCAAAGTTGCTGACTTAATTAATTAATTAATTAGTTTAATGGTATCAGGAAAACTTAATTATAAACACTATATATCTTTGCACAATTTCAGGCATTGTCTACTTCTTAATTAATTCAAATCACCAATGGTTGACACCAAGTATCATTGTTAAGGTAACCAGGCAGGGCATTGCAATGTAATATTCTAAATGATTGCCGCTCAATAGCACATTTTGACTTCAAGAATTGGACTCTTGAAGGTCGTGACTATTTCTCTCTCCTTTTCCTTCTTTTTTTCTTTTCCCTTCCTTTTGTGATTCGGTTACTTGATGCTAGAATAGAATGGAATCACCTTAATATTCTTGTTATGCTACTAAAGATGGTTTATGGTCTTGTTGATTTGCAATATTTTTACTCTTGTATAACAAATAAGGTATTAACAATTTGTGGAATCATGTATAATTATTACTAGTTAATTTTTTTTAAAACATGTTTTGAATGAAAGAATATAAATTGACATAGAGTAACTATTTCATTATGTTTATATTTTTTGTTTGGTGTATAATCATAAATATAATTTTTTTTTTGGTTTATATGTTTATATTTTTAGTTTTTTTTTGTGAAATTTTTAGTGTGGTCTGTCTAGGAATAAATTAATATGGATTAGTACATAAAAAAATATATGCAAATAAATACGCATGATTAAAAATAATAGTTTATTAAAGAGAGGTTAGAAAAATTATAGTATCATTAGAAAGATAAAAAAAATTATTATGGATTTTAAGGTTGAACCGCAGGATATATGTTTGAGGGGAAGAAGTTAAAGCCATGAATTTTGATGAACATTATAATTGGGCTTGGTAGTTGATTTCGGTGAAGTTTTGATCTTAAGTTGTGTATTTGTTTTCTTGTTAGATTGATTGTTCTTTTAATCAAGATTAGAGAATAGATTGAGCTGCGTTACTTACGTTTTCCTGGGAATGGTTTATATATCAGATTTATTACAAGTTTATGCTAGCTGGGGGTATTCTATGTTAACGATATTGGTGTTTATTGGGATTGTTTTGAGAAGGAAGTGGGAGGCCTCTTTTTGATGGTGTTTAGATGAGTTGGTGCGAAATGAAAATCTACCTTTATGAGGATGTACATTGTGTACATTATATTTAACAAAATCTACTTTTATAAGATTTTGTCTTTGCACCCTGGTCAAGGCCTAGAACAGGGTATCTTAAATTCAACACTGACGGGTCCTCCAAAGGCTGTTTCGGAGACTCAAGTATTGGCGATATTCTACGTAATGACTCTGGTGATGGGCTAGCTATGTTCTCTAAAGACAATGGAGCTGCGGACTCTACTACTGCTGAGCTCCTTGCGGTGAGAGAGGCTGCCACCATCTATGCCGCATCCAAGTGGTGCTTTTCTTCCGTGCTAGTACTGGAGTGTGACAAATCACAATGTAGTCAAGTGGCTTACCGACCCTAGTGAGGTGCCATGGAGACTGCGAGCAATGGTTATTCAAATCTGGTCCCTCCTTGCCAAAGTTGATAAATGGAGCATTACTCACATACCACGTTCCGGTAATGATATGGTTGACACGTTGGCTAAGGAGGCAGTGCTTAGATCTTATGATTTTAGATCATTGGTGGAGCCTCAAGCCAAAACCAGGTTGCTCTTTCCCTTCCCTCTAATGCAGCGGGTTGATTCCACAAATCTGTTCTGCTGTCCCTCTTGCTTAAAGGTACCCTGAGATTTGTGAACTTGCTCAATAATTTGATCTTTGATAGCTGTTTCCGTTGTGATTCTGGATATACCTCTGAATAGCTTTTGTCCCTGTTTTTTGGCTCATTGGGATCTCGTCCCCCGCACCAATCTGCTAAGGGTGCTATTTTTGTACAGCCGCTGTGGTGGTATCTTTGTTCTCTTGACAGGTCCATTTAACGTCTTGTCTTAAATGTACAGTTTCCATTCAATCAATGAAATGATGCCTTCCAAAAAAAGAAAAAAGTAGTATGCGATTGTCTAGTAAAAGCCATTCTTTCCGAATTAATGGCACACAAGTTTATAAAATTTAATTAAAACTGGCAGATAATGATTAATTTCTTTAATGGTGAATTGCTACGGGATGCTAAATATTGTAATGAAGTTGCTGACTTAATTAATTTCTTTAATGGTGTTAGGATTATAAACATTACATATCTTTGCATAATTTCGGACCGACGATCGCATATAACATTCCAGATGATTGCAGCTCAATAGCAGATTATATACTTCGTACTTTTATTACAGTTTGACTTCAACAACTTGACTTTTGATTTGAAAAAATATTATTACAATTTACATGACATGATTTAAATAAAAGAATATAAGTTCTCATAGAGTTACTATTTCATTACAGGTTCACTGTTTTTTGTAATACTTTAATTTCTGATTTATTATATGGCAAACAACTTTTTTTATTCTACAAATATTGTACTTTAAAAGATTATTATGTGTCTATTTATGATATATTTTAAAAAAACCAATTAATTAATTATTAAATGGAAATGTGACAATTGTATAAACACGTTTTTCTTTTTTTTTTTTCATAGAATTTGGCAATTATTTTAAACTATTTCTCAATTTTTGATATAATCAGAATGTAAGAAATTTCAATAGTTATTTACAGAAATTATTTCATTTATCAAGTTTGGGGAAAAAATGAAAAAAAAATACTTTGCAAAATTAAACGGTACCTACCTACATATAAGATCCTCCACTTCTCCATCCATGCCTTTATAATAATCCTGAAAATCATGTTGAATAAAAATAACATAAAAACAAAATAACATGGCAGCTTAATTTCAAGTTTGAGCTACCGAAAAGGGTACTCTTACTTACAGTAGAAGAAATGTTGCTTAACATGTTCAAATTGGAACTACAAACAGCTTTGTCTTTGAAGTTAGAAACAACAAATCTCAGAAAAATAATATATTTGGATTGGATCCAATCCTTTATTTATTTATTTATTTTTGGTTTGCCTCACCTAACTAGGCAAACTGACATTTGGTTGACTTATAACCAGCAATTAATCTTCCAGAGGAAAATGGAAAATCTGGCAAAAAGGATCTCAGGATTTCATATACATACAGTATTTTGCATTGTATAAAGGTTATTAGATAGTTTCTTTCATTGTTGGCAAGAGAAAACGAAAATCTATTGCAACTCAAAACAAGAAGTACATCGCCAGTATAAGAACCCAGAACATCTATCTGAGATTTTTATAAAATTCTCGATGAACTACGACAATCACATTAAAGAAAATGTACACCAAGGACGAGGGGGGGTGCTTGCACCCAATTCGGAGGACACATGCTTCTTTTTGACTGGATAGCTATCCAATCTGCTGCTTGACTGGCACTTCTCGAAGTCAAAAGAAGTTTGGATTTTCTGATCTCTATCTCAAACTTCACAACATCTCTCAAAACTGGGAGGTGCCTCTACTTAATTTCCCTTCCGCTCTTTAGTGTCTCCTTAGAAAGAACCTGTTAATCAGTTTAAGAATCACTTGTTTGTAAGCATTTTCCTTCACTAAAAGAGCTCCCCTCCTCAATGCCTCTGCCTCAGATAGGAGAGCTGAATCAGCAAAAATATTCTTCCCTGACACCATCAAGAACTGCCCCAGAACTGTCCCTTACTATGCCACAAATTCCAGCTTCCATACTGTTCTGCTTCAAGGCTCCATCGAAATTGATTTTAAGCCAACCTTCAGGGGGGCGTTGCCATACCTCTGAATCCTTATAAGCCTTTTTGTTCTCATCTGTCAACATGCGAGAATCATTCTCCCCCACGTTTAAGAACTCCCAAGAAACTGCCCCTGCTCTGGCACAGTCCACAGATAAATCCAACGCAATAAAAAAAATTAATAAGTAAGCAATCAAAGGCTTGTGAGATTTGATTTACAGCATGAAGCTGTGTTTATTTTATAAGAAGAGCATGGAGCAGTGAAAAATGTCAAAGTGGCTAAATGAAGGTCATGCGCAGAAATAATCATATCAAAACACAATGGCAAAAAGTTTTATTACCAATACTCATGAAATAGTACATAAGAGTGATTTTTTGTCATATGATGAGAAGAAATTGTGGTAGATTAATGTCTTCATTCTTATTCTATATCCTGTATAAATGGGCATTCTGATTTTTATATATGTTCTTACATGTGATGCATGTCTAATATATACATACATGCATACATTCATATATATAAACTGTGTTCAATGAAAAATTTTCCATGTTAACTTAAAATAGTTGCCTCCACTGAATTTAAATCTTAGATCCGTACGTGCCTTAATCTATGTAATTGGATTTGATTGAATGCCACTCTCCATCCCGATATTATGCCACTCTGCTACGATAAGATTCAATTACAAGAACAAATGCCCTTATCAAAATGGTGCAGTAAAATGTTGAAACATGATATGTATTGCAATGACAAGAAATACTGAGAAGCAAATCCTCACCTCTTTAGTCTTACAACTCCATTTTTATCCTACTGTATCTGGAAGGGAGAAGCGGTGCAGAGATAGGTACACTTGGATGCCGGTTTCTTTCAATCATCACTTTTATTGACGTAAATAGTTTAGCAGATGACTTCTTGGAGCAAGCTGAGTGATCAAAACTAAAATGAAAAGCCCAAAGATGATAAATGGATATATTCATAATTTTAATATATTCTTTATTTAGTTAGGAGTTCTATTAAGAATTATAGATATAATAAAATTTTCCTTTTATTTTAATTTACTTGAACAATAAGTAAATCTAGATTTAGGAATTTACTTTTCTTATACTTTAAGAAAGATTATGATAGAATAATTCTTTATTTAAATTTACAAGCATGTCAAGTAGAATTAGGTTATTATAAATAGCACATTTAGACTTAATTATTAGATAATTTTTGGAATTATTGAATACCATTACATTCCTTTAAAATTTTGAGTAAGTTTCTGCATTTGAAATTTACTTATCAACCTTAAATGCCTGGTTAAGTATAAATATTTGTTGTCACACTAACTCACCACGTCAACTGGTGACAGAGTTAGAAAAGCTCACCCAATCTAATGGCAAGTGACCCAATTATGATAAACAGTGATTCTCTTGGTGAAGATCATGAAACTGAAACCTCTCGATCTGCAATGCAAGATCAAGGGGTGGTGCTGAAAGCTTTGGAACAACAAATGGATCTCAAATTCAAGCGTTTGGAACACTGCTTTGAAGAAATTGAAGATCAATTTGATGCTCTAGATGTAAGTGCCAACAAATACAAGAATGACAAAAGGCCACGTACCAAAGATGATGTACCTCATGTGTAGTCTATCGGCAGACTTGTTCCTGCAAACGGACGAAAACAACAAATCAACTTCGAAGCTTCAGACGAAAAAAATGATTATTTGATAGAACTTATGAAATACGCTGAATATGGAAATAATGATTATGGTGATCCAAATATCAAAGCTTTCATATTAAAGGTGGATATTCCTTGTTTTAATGAGAGTCTTAATATTGAAGAATTTTTGCATTAGATTGTGGAAATAGTCAGATTTTTTAAATATATGGAGATTCAAAGGGTGAAACTTGTCCCACGCAGATTGAAAAGTAAAGCTTATGCATGGTGGGAAATGTTGCAATCTAGAAAGAACCGTAAAAGAAAAACACCAATTAGAACCTGATACAAGACGAAACAACTATCACAGAAGGATTTTCTTCCTTTTGATTATGAGCAAATTTTGTTCAAAAAATACTAGAGATGTCATCAAGGTCAGCAAATTGTATATAAGTATGCTGCAGAATTTATAAGACTAGCTGAGAGAAATGACTTGACAAAAACCAAAGGGCAACAGGTTGCCAGATATTTGGAAAGGTTGAAGCCCATTATTAAAGACAAGATAAGCGTTCACGTATTGCGAAATTTATTTAAAGCACAAAATTTTACTTTAAAGGGTAAACTGATGTTGCAGAAAAAGAACAAATCTAATTATTTTTGCACAAGTTACAACAAGGATAATTATAAAGCATCTAATGACAAAAATAAATCAATCGTGCAATGATCGATACAAGAAAGAAAAGGCAACCGGAAAGCATAAGTTGACAGATGCGAAAAAGGGGCAGAACGTTGCAAATCCCTATGTTAAACCAACCCCAAGAAAGTGTTTCAAATGCAATCAACGTGGCTATAGATACAATGATTGTCCTCTCAGAAAAGCAATCCATGTGGTGGAACGAGCAAAAAAGGATGATGAGATTTGCTATGGTCCAGATGGGGATGATGACAAGTATAGGGATTATGATGATGGGCAGAACTATGTGGTAAGACTAATGATGTCATCTCCAAATAAGGAGGATAACACCCAGCGACATCAATTATTTCAAACTGGGTGCGCTATCATTAACCGTTTATTTGATATGATTATTAATAGTGGAAGTTGAGAACATTATCGGTAAGGATGCTGTGGAGAGTCTGGGTCTTAAAGCTAAAAAGCACCCCAATCTATACAATATTGGCTAAATTAAGGCAATAAAGAGGATTCATGTAACAAAACGGTGTAAGGCATCTTTTTCCATTGACAAATACAGGAATGAGGTATCTTTTGATATTATGAATATGGATGCTTGTCACTTTTTATTTGGTAAACCTTAGCAATTTGATGTTACAGCATAGCATGATGGGAAAAAAAATACCTACGGATTGGAGAAGGATGCACAAGTTTACTTTAGCTCCAATGAAAGGAAGTGTCAAAACCAAAGCTTCTAAATTGAAGAAGTGAACTTTCTTTGCCCTTACCCATTCAGAGAATGAGTTAGAAACTGCTTTTGATGAGTCAAAGGAGGTGCATGCTCTAATTATGAAACAGGTGTTTTCAATTAAAGAGGATCAAAAAATAATAGAGCATCTAGAAGCAATCAAATCGTTGCAAGAAGAATTCAGTGAGGTGATGCTAAAAGATGCACCTGACGGTTTACCACCCATGAGGGATATTCAGCACCGTATGGATCTGATTCTTGGTGCTAGTTTACCAAATTTACCTCATTACAAAATAAACCCAAAAGCGAGTGAGATTCACAAGGAGAAAGTGGAGGACTTCCTACGCAAAGGACATATCTAGGAGAGCATAAGTCCATGTGCAGTTCTCTCTTTACTAACCCCAAAGAAGGATGGGAGTTGGAGGATGTGTGTAGATAGTTGAGCCATCAACAAGATTACTGTTAGATACAAATTTCCAATTCCTAGGCTAGATGACATGCTTGATAGGTTATATGGGGCTAACATGTTCACAAAGATTGATCTTCATAATGAATTCCACCATATTCAAATTAGACGAGGGGATGAGTGGAAAATGATTTTTAAAACAAAAGAAGGGTTGTATGAGTGGTTCGTAATGCCATTCGAGTTAACCAAGATGCCTAATACCTTCATGCAATTGATGAACCAAGTAGTGAAAACTTTTATTGGAATATGCCCATAAAGGTCCAAGTACTCAGCCAGAGTCATTTGGCCAAGTAGTATCACTCATTTTTTTTCTCTCTCTTTCGTAGTAAAAACAAAAATATAGGAAGGTAACTAAGATTCTGACTCCCAAGAGAAAAAGAAATAACTTATGAGACAACTTGGTGGAAGTTACCTAGAGGAAATCCGTCCAAACTTGCACTGTTGCCTCTCCAAATGGAACAAATTCTTCTATTTATTGATTGTTCTGGAAGAGCATAAAGTTCCCCTCTTAGGTTTGGGCTTCCAACCTGACTTGTCTTTAGCTTTCTAGTTCTGCAGCTAGAACTTCACTTTCTCTCTTGGAGCAAATTCTGTCCGAGCAGCAACAAAAAGTGAGAAACAAAAAGGAAGGAAATAAATCAAAAGGAAGTTATTTGGTGTTATAACAAATGAAGCATTGCCTGGCATGATGGCAGCAGTACCCGAGTATAAGCTACAGATTCATAGGAACATTTGGGTACAGTGAAGGACACCCTGACCTAATCAACTACTCTGTCCCTACAGCATTGCATAAAAGGAAAGCTAATGTCATAAGTTGATTAATATTTTCAAATAAGACATAAATTGCAACTAAAGGGCTAAAAAAATATGCTCAGCTCTGTATTTTTATGGTGCCATCTACATCTACAAGAGTGAAGGTGGTAGAAAAGGTAGAAAATGACAATTTCAAGAGTCAGGGGAGTGAGTGGGATAAAGAAGAGAATGTAATTGTGTACGTATAATCAACGTAATCATCAACTGAAACAAATTCATTATATAGGCTTAACTTTTATCAATTCGGATGCTGGCTATTTACCTTAACGCTGACACACCAATTACGGTACTTAAGCCGGTGACTGGATGAGATGTCCATTTCTCCTATTTTGGGGGACTTTCAGTTTGTTGCAACATCAAAAGACAGCCTTGAAGTTGAAAGCGGATGTTCCATATACTGTACTCTTCAAAAAACTCCCATTGCATCAAAACTTTTGATTTCCACTCAATTCTGCAAATAGAAGTGTTAAAGTTAGAACACAGAAACACAAAATTAGTTCTAATGAATATCGAAGGGTTGATATATTGGAAATCCTCCAAACTGATACTATTAAAGAGCTCCCTAAAGAACAGGCTGATGATTAAACATTGTAGGTAGCCCAAACCCTGCATCCAGACATAAGATTGCACTCCTAATGTGTGTACTAATGCTAAATAATTGGTAAAGATATGGTTAAATGGAGATAGTCATCCATATGTTTCAAAAAGCAAGAGGTGTAAAAGTGTTTCATATTGCCTCAAACTCATTAAAATACCTGATAAGCCCAGAAGGAATTAAAAAATGAAGAGCAAAGGTGAATCTCGACAAATATCTGACTTTAGAGGGGTCACAACAAGATTCTTATATGTGTATGTATTGGTGGCTTAGTCTGGAAATTGATTCCATTCAGCCTACTTCATCACGGTTTTCAAATTAGGGAAAAGAAAAAGAAGGACCTGGAGGAATAAATCTATAAACAAGAAATCCCAGTTTTTACATCTAGCAAGGATATTAGAACATCTGAATTAGTCCATTTGTTTTGAGTTAACCAAACCAGTCAAATATGGGCCAGCCTGCATCAATAACTTTGCATGAGAGGAAAAGTATTGTAAGTTGTAAATTATTTTTAAACAAGAAATGGCATGGGAAGTCCACAAGCAAATGCTCACCTCACAACTAGGAAGTATTTTCTTTATAAAACCCGGACTCCTCCAGCTCAGGTAAATATGCTAAGGAAGCACAATAGTGCTACTGATGTCACTCCTTGATATCTCTAATTCTTGTACCACTTGTTCTGCCCTTCCTCTGCTTCAGTGTAGTCCAATCCAAAAAGAAGGAAACAAAAGGAAAGAAGAAAAGTCAATACAAGAGTTTAGAACAGGAAATAATAGGAAAACAACAAAAGGGAAAATGAAGTCAACCTAACCAGTTAATAAATTGCTGGAGCATCCACTATCCCCTACTTTCATGTTCCAGGAGATGGATCGCCTATACAAGCGAGGACATTGCACCTGAAAAAGAAAAAGATTAATAACAAAACTGAAATCATATTTGAAATGAAAATGTAAATAGGAGATGGGACAAAGAGGGTTAAGTGATTATACATACCTCACTTCAACGTTGTTGAGGTAACATATATTTGCCACACCGGGATCAATCATCAGTCATCATTTTTAATTATGACTTCTGGAATGCGAGAAATCTTGAACCACTCAGGGCCACTCTCCATGGCACACCTTCCACTTAATTTGGGGCAATTGTGAATAAAAAGCCTCTTTAGATGGGTGAGTTTTTGCAAAGCTTGTGCGGATGGCAGACACATCAGTTTCTCACATTGGTGGATTTTCAAGGATTGAAGAGACGAGAGATTTCCCAACCAGTCGGGCAAGGCTTCTAATCCATCAAACGACCATATCTCCAATCGCTTAAGAGCACTAAGGTGCTGAAGTTGTTCCGGCAGAGACCTCAGTCTTTTCCATCCTAACAATAACAAATAATCAAGGGAGGCAGGGAGACAACCGACGGAACTGAGACCTGGGAATTCATCCAACTCTTCGCTGAAGCCACCGATTGTCAATACTTTCAAGCTGCTGAAGCGGCCCAGCCACCCTTTTGGAATTGTTCTCAAATTTGGACAAATGGTGATATTTAGGAAACGAAGGGAAGGCAATTGCCTTATTTCTTCTTGAAGAAGATGCAGATTGAAGTTACCGATTATGTCCAATTGTTCAAGAGAAGTACAGGATCCCAACCCATGTGGTAGCTGTCTTAGGTCCTCACATTTCTTTAGAACTAATATTCTCAGAGAGGACAGTGCATCTAAGCTACCAATATTTGCCACACCAGTGCAATCACGTATTGACAAATTCTCCAGAGAAGTACAGTCTGAGATCCCTCTTAGTAGAGACGACAATCCGCTGCACTTGGTCACCTTTAATTCCGTAAGAAATGAGAGCCGATCGACGCTTGGTATGTGTTCCAAACTAGGGCAAACTTGTATATTTATTTTTTTGAGACAAGTTGATGCAGATAGTCCGTCATCTATAGAAATCAACTCCTTGCAAGAGTATATTTTAAGCGTTTGAAGAGATGGTAATCCGCCCATCATTGGAACCATCTGCAACTCGGGACAGCACCCAATAGTCAAATCTTCAAGGCAAGGAAATACTTTTGTTAAGGTTGAGTCCCCCACAGACGCCGAATATCTGGTACCATCGAACATGGTTGGATCCAACCATGACTCCAAAGTTTCCATACCTTCTATGGTGAGTTCTTTCAGTACCGGAAACAATACTCCAAAGACACCACCATTATAAGAACAATAAAATTCACTACCTAAGCGCCTCAAATTGTTCATCTTTTTTATTGCAAGAATCTTGAGATTGCGCAATTTCCCCAGACTTGGAAGACTTTGGCAATTCATGCAATTGAATAAATTCAATTCCACTAAATTGTCCAGCAAAAATGAATCACTACCAGTACTATTAATACTGATGCTCCTCCACATCCACGGAGGAAAGGACTCACCCCTGAAATTCTTTATACTCAAACTTTTCAAACTTGTGGGAGGCTTCAAGCCGTACAACACTTCTTCATGATGGAGCCTCTTACTAGTTACATAGCTCCTATCGGAATACTCCGAGCTGTCCGTTAATTGTCTAAGAAGATTTGAGGTTTCACCCAAGTAATCCGATAGTTCGTCCATGCCGCTGGAGTAAGACTGCAAGTCGTCCAACACTTCTTTATCATAGTTGAAGCTTGTATAGCTCCAGTCGGTATCTGAATTTATTGCCACTTCCTCATCATCGTCAAAACTTTCTCTTTTTGAGCTCCATTCGTATATCAACTTGTATATGTTTGTTTTCGCTTGCAAATTTGCTCCCCTGGCTTCTTCTCCGTCTTTAACATACTCAAGCTTGCATATCTTCAAATCTCCTCTGAGATGATTCAAACATCCCAGCTCCTTGATTTGGCATCCAATTTCCACGCCCACAACAAATAATGGCAACGTCCGAAGACTAGTTAGGCACCCGATCTGAACTGGCATAAGTTTTTCATCATTGAAATAAATATGTCTCAAGCTTACTAAGTTTCCCAGACCCTCCGGAAGCATTTCCAGATGTTTACAATGCATGAATCTTAATGTTTGCAAATTGAACAGTCTGTCTATGGATTGGGGTAGTTCTGTTATGCTGGTTCCAGAAACATCCAAGTACCTCAAATGCTTGACTCTGCCAAGAAAAGTTGGCAAGTCATTGATCATAGCATCACAAAAGTTTAGAATTCGTAAACTTTTGAAATCTCTCAACGCATCATTGAAGACATTAACTTTGGAGAACAAAGACCGCAATTTTCCAGCTACGTCCTCTGAGATCTTTGGCACCAATTCCTCATCATAAGCAACATTCAAATGTCGAACATGATCAGAGATAGCGGTAGTCAACGTTTTCTTTTGCTCAGCGGGATCCGTAGTCAACTTAGAAGTCAACTTAGAAGCAATCAATTCTGATTTTGAAACAAATTGCGCAAGATCATGCACTACATCATGCATCTTGCAAGTTTTGATATTGCCACATGTATCCCTTTTCACATCTTGAAATAAAGAGTTCGATAGCAAGCCATTAAAAAACTTATCACCAACATCTTCCAACTCTGCAACACCTCCTTCTTCAGACCAGATGATTTCTTCAGAAGGATGAAGAAAACCTTGGGCCATCCAAAGCTGAATCAATTGATCCTTTTCAATAACATGGCCTTTAGGAAAGATGGAACAATATGCAAAACATTGCTTCAAACTAAATGGTAAGTTGTCAAAACTCAACTTCAATTTAGGTAGAACCTCATCGTTATTTTCTAGTTTCAAAACATCACTATTTTTAATCGCCAACCAGTCTTCTTTTCTCCTGGCAAAACCCAGGGTCCCTCCTAAGACACTTGCAAGTAGTGCCACACCTCCACATTTTTCTGCAATTTCCTTTCCTATTTCTTCTAGATCTACACTTACCAAAGCTCCTCCGATCCGACATGCTCTTTCCTTGATGATTGACCAACATTCTTCCTTTGATAATTTCTCCAAGTTATGTCTATGATCAGGAGATGTCTCCACAACGGATGCTGTCCTGTGGCTACGAGTGGTTACAACAATAGCATTAGCTTTGTCTCTTTTTTGTAGGGACAATTCATTTGCATTATCATTAATTTTTGACAACCGGTTCTTCAATTCGCGCCACTTTTGGTCATCTTCAATCCACACATCGTCAAGAATTAGAAGAAAACTTTTGTCTTTCAACTCTTTCTGAAGGTTAAAAAGTATTGCATCAATGTTGCTCATGCCACCAGCACTTCTGTCCAGAGATTCTAACATTCCTCCTAGAATCTTTTGGTGACTGAAATCATAAGAGACACACACCCAAATTGCTACATCAAACATGTTCTTCTCTTTTACTTCCTTACACACCATTTTAGCCAAGGTTGTCTTTCCAAGGCCTGGCATACCAACTACGGAAATGACAGAGATCTCATGTTGGTTGCTCATGCTACTCAGCATGTTGACGATCTTTGAGACATCATCTCGCCTCCCAATTATAGGTCCAGAATCGAGGATGGAGTCAGTCTCGTAGATGTCTTGGCCGAGTACAGTAATTCTGCCAACTGGTCTATTACGAAGTCCCAAAACAAATCCTTCATTTTTTATTTGATCCAAAGATTGATTGATCTGTTTAACTTTATTGGCCATCATGAAGTGAAATAAAACAGGGTTGGTTAGAGAGAAGAAGTCGCACACCTGTTTCCACACGAAGATGCACATAGGCTTATTTGTCACGACATCTCTTCGTAGATCTTCATAAACAAGCTCATCCAAAACGTCATCAGACTCGTAAGCCACTTCTCTAAGCTTCAGCAGCCATCTCCTAACAGCCCTTTTACTTCCTTGCTGGTCTTCTGCATCTTGCAATACATCCAGAATCATAGCCAATGAACCTTGAAGCCTTTTCAGCTCATCTCCAAAAGTCCATGCAATTTTGATTTGCTCAGAAGCAACCGAACTAAGGCCGGAAACTATTCCCTTTGCAACAACGATCACAGCTTCAGCCATTTTTTCAATAGGTTTTAATCTCTAGGACTAGAATGTAGAGAAAGAGGCTGCTTTTGGAAGAAGAATTTATTTTCTTTTCGACGTTAGGTACGCGAATCCGCGTGCTTGATTTATGCACATGCCGACGGCCACTTGAAATGTACGTGGTCCCCTCAATTGCTGGATTAAAATATGCAACCCTTAAACGCTGTTTTGGTTGGTTTCATTGACTGTGAGGTGTTTTTGCTTGTCGGTACGCACATGCGCCCCTTGAGGGTCGCGCATGGGTTGTTTTATTTGGATTCTCAATAAATATTTGCCCGGATTAATTTGTCTTTGTTTGATTTGTATGCCTATTTTGGTCTTTTTCATTTTCTACCCTTTTGTTCCTTTCGGAGCTTTTCTTTTCCTCAGTTGAGAGTTTCTAAAAATAAAATACTATGGGTGTATCTAAATTACTTCTATGATCTACATAGTAAATTGGGGTTTCATTATTTATAACAAGTTGGAGTTAGATTATTTGTCTTGTTCTAACATTTAATTCGTTTTTTTAAAGTGATTGTCTACTTTCTTTTGAAGGTTGGAAAAGTCGAAAACCAGTTAGGGTCAAGTGACATTTTTTGATTTATTAATTAATTTTTTATTATTAATTTATGTATTTTATTTTATATTTATTTTATTTTATTTTTCAGCGATAGTATAGAAATATTCATTGTGATTGTTTAGTTTAATTATATTCATTTTTATTTTTGTTTTCATTATATTTAATATTTTATTCTATTTGTCTTTTATCTTATGTATTGTTGAATTGTTAAATATTGGTCAAGATTTGTGTGCTTATTATTATGAAATATTGGTTTGTGTTGTTCATTCATTGTTTAAACAATGTTGGTCGGAGATTATTAGTTATAAAAATTAAATCTTTTAGTCTCAATTTTCACTTTTCTTAAGCTCAGCCATTGAACATGCTAAATGCTTTGTTTTTGCACCTTTTATTCTCATTTTTGTTTTAATTTTGTTTAATTTATTATTTAATTTGTCTTTTGCATTATGCTTTGTTCTATTTTAAAACTTTAGGTAATAGTTTTGTTTTTTCTATTGACATCATTTTCTTATATTATTATATATATTAAATTGTTTGCATAGGATTTAGTTTCAATATATGTTGTCATTGTGTTTGCCTATTATTAGTTTTTGTATTATGCTACTTTATAATTTGAAAACTTCAGAAGAATAATTTTTTTTTCAAGGATTAATGTACAATGATCTCTTATACACTTTTCATTTTTTTTATATTTATTTCTCTTTACAATTATTTATATTATAATTGTACGAATTTTCACAAACTGATTTGAATAATATTTGTTGTTTGATTGCCTTCTGTTCAGGTGTTTTTTTTTTTGTGTTCATAATCATATTAATTTAAATTAATAAAATTTTATGTTTTTATTTGCAATCTATTGTGCTGTTCTTGGTGAGATATCAAAATTGTCAATCCTTGCACATAGTAAACTACTTCAACGTTTTTTTCCTTTATGATACGACTTTCTTGCTTAATTTTTTATTATCTTTCTAGTTTTTTTGTCAAATTGTGTTTCATTTATTTTTATCTACTTTGCTGTTATTTTCATTTTCCATGTTATTTTTAATTAAGTTTGTTACTTTATTTGGTATTTATTTGTGTGTGTGTACTTTTTTTTTTTTGCTTTGAATAATATATTTAGTGCTTTTTACATATCCCTAATATATGAATTTAATTTAAATAACTTTTTAAAGAAAAGGTGAATTTATTAATCCAAGTCTTCATGCCATCCAAAGTTTTTAACACTTTGTTAAAGACTTTTATTGGCATAATAAAAAGGCTTGTGCACAGGAGAAGTACAATAAAGGCTATAGAACTGCCTGTTGAAAAATGTGAGCAACTCCTTCCCTAAGCTGAGCAAGACACAAAAGTGAGCTGTCTACACTTATCCTAAAGACCTGTGCTGCACAGAGAGAAGTAAAAACTCGGACATCCTTTAGCCCGTCCTAACTATTCTAAAAATCAGAATGGCTGTCAGCAGTTAACGAAACAGCGTCTAAACGAACATAACCACATAAGAGAGAACTATCAAAGGAGAAACCAGTCTAGATCAACATGAATCAAGAAGGGATTTACCGAACAAACACGGAGGCAACAGACCTGTCCATCTTTCGAAGGAATTTATCAACAAAACCAGCTCTGAAGGACAACGATCATGACCCACAAGCCAGCAACAAGGTCCTCCTCAGAACCAACGCAACCACCACAAGGTAAAGGAGAAGACCAAAAAAGCCACTGAGGAAATCAACCAACGCGCGCCTCAAAAGAACAACAAAGAGCAGGCGCTCCAATGAAGCAGCAACATAGAACTCAACAAGAAAAAATCCCATCAGCATCAGAACAACTGCAAAGCACAAAAAGGTAGAAGGATGCAAAAGGAACCATGCCCCAAGCAAACAGCCACCAGGAGAGACGATTCACCAAGATGCCAGCCTTACATAAGAGAGCCAACAGGGAGGAACAAGACCGCGAAAATCATCTCACCCCAGTCCCCCTTACACTCCCCACACTTCCCAAGAACTCCCTCCCACGAGCAAAAAAGCCTCATCGCCGTGGGCCCTTCCTTTAAGGCGTTCCCCAACAAAAGCCCACCCCACCGGCCCTCGAGCTAAGATTCCAAGTGGGAGAGGGTAAAAATAAAAAAAATTAATATTCAAGGGGATAAAATTATAAAATTTTAAAAATTAAAAGTAAAATTAAAAATATTTAAAATAAAATTAAAAAAAGTTATAAATTTTTAAAACTTTGAGGGAGTGGGGGCCTTACTAGTCCCCCTTTTCGTCTCTTGCAAATTATTGGTTAATTTTTTATTTATTTAGGTATATATATCATAAAAATAATATAATAACAAATAAAATATCGATATCAAACAGAATTATTTTAAAATTTTTATCCAGTATTAAAATTAACATAATTTAATTTTATCCAAACTAAGTAAAAAGAAACTAATTATTTAAACTAAAATTAACAAAACCAATTATCAAGAATAAAAATCAAAGTAAAAATAAAATCTAATAAAAATCAATAAAAATAAGCCTAAGATTATAATATCTCTTATATTTTATCTAAATTTTACTTCTCTTCCTTAACTTATTTCAATAGGTTGAATTGCTAACAAAGAGTTCTCAATTATTTATAAATGTTTCCCAACTCTTATAAAAATATATATTTTAACCAAAATATTATATCTCTATGTGAATTTGTCGCATCCTATTTTATGGTGGAACATGACCAGCAATTAAATCCAGACGTGTATAACTTACTATACCCAAGCAAACCTCTTCAACGTTTATCATTAAACATTCATCAATATGAAAGCATACATAAACATCCATAGGCATATAATATCAACTCATGCATACCATCATACGCAACATTACACATATATGAAACTTCTCAACATATTAGTGTAAGCGTAACATTTCATACATCATCAAAGTATCACATCTCTAGTGCACCATAATATTTACATGACTCAATACCATCGGGTGTCCATATGGGCTCTTAAGCCACTTTACACATTTAACATTACATTCATAATGTAATATGCCCAAACAGTCGACTACATTATTGTATCATACTCATAATCCATAAAACATGTTCAAAGTTTATAAACATAAATATAACATAAACTGACCCATTAACGAAACCCTGCTCATTAGGCATCGAGAACTCTCTAGACACCTACTAATGAGAAATGAACGGATCACGTCTCTATGACACTGGCTGCTAGCAAAAAAATGCTATCAATAATCTGCAATAAAAATAGTCAAGGAAAATAACATGTGAGTCATAAAAGACTTTGTGAGTGGATATGGAGAAAGGGACAAGTTAAGAGATAAGAGTTTTTCATAACTATACAATTATAAATACATATGGTTCCTAAATCCTTTCACATTACCATGATGTACATAAAATATAGCATTGAATCATTCTCTAAATAACATTGCATGGAAAACATCTTTGCATAATTCATTAAAAGCCATTTAATCTTGTAAACTTCTCTAAAATCATTTAAGTAGCCAATTCTACAACAATTATATCGATATATTCTAAAATGTATCGATACATGTAAGAAATCTATCGATACCCTTAGTAATGTATTAATGCTTTTACCACAAAATCTAACTTTTTAAGCATTTTCTTGAATCTAACTTACTCATAAGTCTTTCTAACATTAAATGATCATTCCCTAGGCTAAAGTTCTATCTAACCAAGCCAATATCACTACATTCAAGTGTAAATAACATCATCAATAATCATATAATCCTATATTAAGTATTTAAGCATAAATCACGAGACAATACTCATTCAATCATTTGTCTAACTCATCAATCTCATTTGTCATAACATTCAACTATATGTGCCACAGTATTTTTTGTAATGCAATTATTCTAACTCCAAAGTCTGTTTTAAACAAATCGCACCAACAATCATGTATATATTTAATAGCATATAAACTTTCATCATTACATTACAAAATCTTATTATTTTATTAAATATAATAAACTTACTTGAGTGCTGCATGTCATGGATCCCACCTCAATAAGAGATAGGGTGGGTATTCTGTATACAAATATAGTTGTTCCACCACTTATCTAGCATGTCTTTTGAGTTAGGAACGCGCGTCTATGATTTATAAACTTATTTAAGCTCTATTTTCAAAGTTTAAAGTCGTATAAAATTGGGCTTAAATTTCAACCCATGACAATTGGTATCAAAGCAGACTCGGATTTTCATTGATGTGAGGCCCCTATGAGAGATACATAGAGTTTAAGGTCACAAAGTTGGGTTTATGTTCTATCCTGTAACATAACTCGAATCTTCACTGATGTGAAGCCCTCATGAGAGATACAAAGGTTGAATTGAAAAAAACCTAAACAAGTGTAAGAGTTCATCTCACATCAATAAGAGATGAGTGGGTCTTAAAAATATAAATATGTTTCTTTCACCAGTTATCAAACATGTCTTTTAGGTTGGGAACATGGAACTTGTCATAATGTGCTGCTTCGGGAGCCTAACCGTTAAACATAGAAAACTAGGAGTCGCCACCAATTTTTTTTATATAGGTACAATTGGTCACTTATTAAATTTGTTCTATTTAACGAAATCCTAAATTAATTTTAGATCATTTAAAGAACAATAGCCCAATCTGCGAATTTTATAGTTGAGGTTTGAGAGTAAGGTTATACACAAAAAAAGATTAGCACCCTGTGACGCCCATTCTATGAACAGTATTATTTAATCATATGTTATCTTATTTTAACCTTAACTTTTGATTTTATTCTTATGTTTCCTTAATCATAATTTATTTATTTTATTAGCAAGTTAAAATTGTTTTATTCGATTTTACGGGTGTGATGTTCGCATAATGTAATTATAAAATTTATGACGTAAAATATGGACAATGCCAAACAAAAACCTTTTATTAAAGATATTTTTTAAATCCACTCATCATAGTGGTAGGATCTGAGATACTCTCTCACCTAGGAAAATACCTAGAAAACTCACCTTCATAAGTTTAACAAGTAAATCCCATCATCGAGATAGTAGTTTGTTAGTAAGTAAAAAATATTGTTTTGTCAATGCAAACCCTAATACAAGTGAATGTCTATTGTTAAGGGTATTTTCCAAACTTTCCCATCATACTAGTGGGATTCCAAGGTATCCTTTCACCTAGGAAATTTTTTAGAAAAACTAACCTTTATAAACTCCCTTGAAAAATCCCATAATCGAGGCTTAGACTCGCAAACAAAATATGTCTAGATGCCATGATAGTTAAATGATGCGATGATAGTGTTTAATATAATTATTAATTTGAATTATTTATTTTGTATATCTTCTTACCTAAAAATATTATTATTTATTTTCATTCTATATATTTTACCCATCTAAATCTAAATATTTAATTATTTCCTATTTATAGTTTTCTACACCATTTTTTACCTCAATATTCCTATCCTAATATTATATAATTTTTTATATTTTTTTTCATCCTCCGATTTTAATTAATCATATACCTATATATATTTTCAACAAAACATTGGACCAACGAAATGCACGCAAACCAAACCAAATTCAAAGGAAAAAAACGTATGAAATTGGGCCTTACCTTGTTCAAGCCTGGACTGGTCCAAGATTGACTAAACTCTGGAGGATCACAGCAGTCCACCAAAGCAAGCAAAATTTCAAAAGGACTTTTTAGATCAACTAGTATTTATTACTGCTAAATGCATCCTTGCTTCACGTCTTCTCTCTATGGTTCTTGCATGCTATCAATCCTTGCTATGACTTTTTTTTTTTGGTTGCTTCAATACAAAAATAACCTTCTTGTACACATTTTGAGATTTTACTATAAAATTGCAACCCAATTTTTTGTAATGAAGTGAAATGCAAGAGGGAGGGTAGGAAAAACAGAATTATGAAATATTTGAACTAGAGAAATGTTGGAAAATAGGTCGAAAATAAGTGAGAAATGATAGTTCCTGCAATCTGTGTTTAAAAATGTATTTATCATGTAATCTCTCTGTTATGTAAAAGATAATGATGAATTAGTTAATTACTTTTCTTTTGATATTTGTCCAAAAAAAATTAAATCATCTTATTTATGATTTAAACCCAAAACTTAGTAAATCATGATGTTTTTGTGTTATGCCTTTGGCTTCATTTTTAGCTTTATCTCATCCTACAAGTATCCCTACTAGATATCATGTAAAAACTGAATTTCAGGAGTGGCATCTCTTGTTCTATGTTACTTCCATGTTTTCGTATTCTTATATATTCTGAGCTTCATCGGTTCCGTTACTTCAATGGTTTTGCTACCATCGGTGGTAACCGGGTAAGTCTTGGAGTCCCTTTTTTTCACTGCCCTTCGTTCTGGGAATTGATGGGCTTCGTCTAGTTTCAATTTGCTAACGAAAGACTCGTTCTTTCCCGAGTTTTAGAAAGCTTTGGTTAGCCAATTAATGACTTCAATCTTCTCTGGAACTTAAAAGTAGCTAATTGCCCTTTTTTCTTAGTAAAAGCTGAAACCATTTTTTGACTACTTTTTATCAATACATATGCTTGAAAATTCAAGACCCTTCTAATCTTTATAATGATTTAATCAGTTTTGGATTTAAACCCTAAATCAAATAAATTATTTAATCAATCTTGAGTTTAAACCGCACCCGAACATTTAATTCATTAATTGATATATTATTTTCTTGTCTAAAAAACAGGACTCGAATCCCCTCCTTCCCCAATTATATAAAAAAAAAATCTTAAGTTTAAACCCTAAATCAATCAATTTAATTTGTTTAGACACAAAACTATTTGTTTTATTAGATTAGGAAGAAAGCAACTAATTTTTTTTTTTGAATCGTTAAATCAATCATTTTTTACCATGTGAACAGGTAAAACAATAACACATAATTCTTAATCAACAAAATGTTACATCAACTATTATGACATCATCAAAATAACTATGCATGAGATAACATGGTAATGTCTTTGGTATCGTTTACTAACGAAAGTGAATGGAATGACCTACATAACCCACGATAAAAGTTCAAGCTCCTAATTGAATGCAATAAAAAGATAGGATTTAATTAAATTTTTTAGCATAGTTCAAAGGCTTATTTAGGTATTTAGTCTTGCTTAATTGATTATTCAATTTCAATTCTAAAAAGTAAAAACCCATATTAGTTTTTTTTTAAAAAAAAAGAGAAAACAAAATATATATATCCATTAAAAATTTGAAAAATAAAAAATATTTATATTTAATTATAATATTAAGTAAATTTGACATATATCCCTTAGAGGTCTTCGTTCAATCCATTCAATTAAAACTAAAACTGAATTATCGGAATTACTATTTTTCCTAATCGAATATCAAATTGAAATTTTATACAATTGAATCATATTCGATTGAGATATGTTGCATAATTGTTCAATAATTTCAAAATAAAAATTATAAATATTCATGACTTTAGTTAAGAAAAAATATTAGTTGTTCATAAACATCAAAATATAAGTCTAGCAATCAAAAATTCTAATCACATTTAATCACTTTCATCAAATAAGGTTCACCAACTAGAATGCCAAGAACCCAAAAGTTTACAGTTCCGAAGGAGGTTCACTGACTAGAATGCAGGTGCTCCTAACAGGGTTTACAGTTCCCTGAAATCCCCTTACGAATGGAGGAGTGAAGACAGAATACATGGTCAATGTAGAACAGAAAAAGAAAAGGGAAAAAGAGAAGGGAGGGGTGGCCATGTTATAGGTTTGTGATTTTAAAATCACACTTGGAAAGAAATGATCCACAAATAAGATTAACTTTCCTGAAATTCATGTCTGAATCTCATAAGTCAGAAGACAAAGCTCTGAGGTACTAACTTTTTTATGCTTTATCAAGTATTTTATGTATTTGGAATGTATATAAATCTTTACAGCAAGTGAATCAGCTAATTTCCTCCACTAATGGGCAAGATAAATGAGTAGAAAAAGGAGGGGAAAACGCAACAACTAGCCATTATCATTAAAGTTTCTTGCAGGAGTAATTCACAATTAAATATTTTATCCCAAATGCTGTGGAGAAATTATACAGGGAATTATCATGAACTGTATGGACAGATACAAAGAAGTCTCAAATTCATTTTCATTCATAATAAATATGGGAAAAGAAGAATTGAGTGAAGCAAACAATAGAAAAAGTCAAAGTCGGAGTCCAGTAAGCTACAAATTTTAACGCTCCATGAGGGGTTGAGATTTTAAAAAACAAAATGAGGATTCACAACCTCAATCTTCTCGAGACTGGACTAATGCATTATCTATTATGACATTTGGAATATGGGAAATCTTGGACCACTCATGTCTGCTATCCTCAGCACATCTTTCCTTCAACTTGGGACAATCATAAAGCCTAAGTGTCTGTAATTTGGTCAGGCGCTGCATGGTTTCTAGAGGAGGGACACGCATCAGATTCTTGCATCTCCGGAATTCAAGTTCTCGAAGAGATGAGAGGTTTCCCAGCCACATTGGCATAGCTTCCACTTCATTGAAGTCCCTTATGTCCAAAGATGCAAGGGAAGTGAGGTATTGAAGTTGATACGGTAGAGCCTTTAGTTTGTCCCACCTGTATAACCGCAAATCTTCAAGGGACAAATTAAGGCGCTGGATGAAACCAAAACCAGGGAATTCCTCCAGTTTTTCCAAAAAACCACCAATCCTCAACACCTTCAACTGTGTGAGGTGGCATAGACTAGGTGGAATGGATGTTAATTTTCCACAAAATGTGATTCCTAAAGAGCGGAGAGAATGCAATTTACCTAGATCTTCTGGAAGAGAGATCAACTTGGGGCAGCTGCATATCCTCAAAACTTCAAGAGAAGTGCATGAGCACAGCCCACTGGCAGGCTTGTTAATCCTCCACATCCAGAAATTTCTAGTTTTGTAAGAGAGTAGAGCATATTTATGCCAGGAATGGACATCAGATTAAAGCATTCCCATATAGATAATTCTTTGAGACATGTGGACGCAGATAGACCATCTCCTATGAGACTCAATTGTTCACACCATCTAATATCAAGCTTCAGAAGAGACAAATATCCACTCATTATCGGAACACTTTTCAACCTTGGACACCTCCAAATAATCAACTCCTCAAGGCAAGGAAACACCAACACCTGTTCTCTTCCAATCATTGCTGCCTCCACCTCTTCCACCCATTCCTCTAGGTTGCTCATCTCCTTCAAAGTGAATTTTCTCAATGCTGGGAACAGTGACAAAGCCTCCTGCCCGCCACACATACTGTCATTAAGATAAAATTCAATACCAATGTACTTCACGTTCTCCAATCCATCGATTGTAAGAACTTTTAGATTGTGCAGTTGCCCAATGGTTGGAATGTTTTGGCATTTCCTGCAATTGATTAATTTTAAATTCACCAAATTGTTGAGCAAAAGTGAATCACCAACAATCTGTGCCTTTGTCGATATCCATGATGGAAAGTTGTCTCCTGCATAACCTGTAATGGTTAAACTTTTCAAATTCGAGTGAGGCTGAAGACCTTCCAGCACATCTTCATCATTATTCAGCCCTTCCCTATGAGACTGCCAGACAAATTCCAACTTGCATATTTTTGTCTTTTCTTGGAGTTTAGCTCCTTTGGCTTCATCTTTGTCTCTAACATGCTCAAGATTGGATATCTTTAACTCTCCTCTCAGTTGGCTTAAGCATCCCAATTCTTCAATTTGATTTCCCATTTCTCTACCCGCAGAAAATAATGGCAACGTCAGAAGACAGGTTAACGGTCCAATCTCCACAGGCATAAGCATTGGATCATTGAAAAAAATGTGCCTCAAGCTAACTAAATCTCTCATTCCTTTAGGGAGATTTTGAAGGCAAAAGCAGCACATGAATCTTAATGTCTGCAGATTGTAAAGCTTAGCGATGGATTCAGGTAGTGCTCTGATGTTGGTCCAGGAGATGTCAAAGTACCTCAAATGCCTTAAACTTCCAAGTGAAGCAGGCAACTCTTCAATATAAGCACCCTCAAAATTAAGAACTCGTAAACTTTTAAAGTCACCTGAAAGGTTATGGAAGATATCAAACTTTGAAAACAAAGAGTGCAATTTATGCTTAGTAGCTCTGGAGACCTCTGGCACCATTTCTCCCTCACTAATGACGTTCAGATGACGAACACGAGAAAAATCACCTACACAATCAGTCTTCAAAGTCAGTGTTTCAGATTTTGAAACAGACAGTGCAAGGTCATGAACTAAATCATGCATTTTACAAGTTGTAATGTTGCCGTACATATCCCTTTCTGCATCTTGAAATAAAGAGTTCGACAATAAGTCATTGAAGTTCTTGTTTCCAATATCCTCCATCAGTGCAAGACTTTCGTCACAGGGACTACTTTCTTCAGAAGGCTGAAGAAACCCTTGAGCCATCCAAAGCTGAATCAGTTGATCCCTTTCAATCTCATGATCTTTTGGGAAAATTGAACAATATGCAAAACATTGTTTCAAACTTAAAGGCAAATTATCAAAACTCAACTTCAAAGTAGGTAAAATTTCGTTGTTGTTTTTTAACTTCCAAGCATCACTATTTTTAATCAACAACCATGCATCTTTTTCCAATTTAAAGCCCATTGTTCCTCCTAAAATGCTTGCAACAAGGGGCGCACCACCACATCTTTTTGCAATTGCCCTCCCAATGTCCTCCAATTCTGAACTCACCAACTCTCCTCTTTTACCAAGTGCTCTTTACTTGATAATTGACCAACACTCATCATCTGATAACTTTTCTAGGTGATGCGTATGCCAAGAAAATGTCTCCATTATGGATGCCACATTTTGACTACGAGTTGTGACAACAATACTGTTTGCATTATTATTAATCTTTGACAAACGACTCTTCAATCTCACCCATTTCTCACGATCCTCATTCCATACATCATCAAGAACCAAAAGGAATCTTTGCCCTTCCAGCTCTTTTCTGAGGTTTTGAATTATTGCATTAATATTACTCAATCCTCCTGCATCTCTATCAAGGGATTCCAACATTCCCCCTAAAATCTTTTGGTCACTAAAATTATCAGATAAACATACCCACATTACCGCATCAAATATATTTTTCTCTTCTACTACTTTGCACACTGATTTTGCCAAAGTTGTCTTTCCAATGCCTGCCATACCCACTATAGATATGACAGAAATAGCTTGTTGGCCACTTAACCTAATCAACATGTCCACAATCTTCGAGACATCATCTTTCCTTCCTACAACTTCTGAATCAAGGATGGAATCCGTCTCATAGTCTCGGCTAATTTGGGGAACCCCGTCTACAGTTCCAACTCTGAGTCCAAAACCAGCCGCATCAGATTTTATTTGAATTAGAGATTCATTTATCTTCTTAATTTTATTAGCAATTTTGAAAGAAAATGCCACAGGCTTGTAGAAAGGAAAGTAGCAGACCTTTGTCTCCAGCTGGTTCTGATATTTTACCTTCCTTCTGAGAATTTCATAAGCAAACTCGTCTAGCACATCATCAGCCTCATAAGCAACATCTCTGAGCCTCTCCAGCCAAAGCCGCACAGCCTTGTCCCTCACTTGCCTTCCTTCCGCATCCTGCAGCACAGCCTGGATCATAGTAAGTGAGTCAAGAAGCCTTGCCAGCTCTTTCTTGAAACCCAAGGCGAGATTGATCTGCTCACCGGCAATAGAGATCACCTTGGATAATGTTGCCTCTATTGCAAAACTGAGCAAAGCTTCAGCCATCTATATGCTTTGATGCACCTAAGTTGATTCTGAAATTCTTAAAATCACTAAAAAAGAATAATAGAGGAAAGAATGATGCAATTGTAGTTCTAGAGTTTAAAGAGAATTGACTTTATACCAGGGAAAGTGGTAAGATGCGGGAAAGCAGGGAAGGTCAAAGACAGCATCAGTCCATAAGATAAAGACATGAATTTTGGGTGAAAGAATAACGAGAAAGCGTCAGTGGACAAGTGACAGCCACAATTACTACACCCTGTTTTATAAGCATAGAAATGCAATCATCTTTGTTATGTTCTTCATGGATTCTAGAAGAGTTTGAAATCAATATGTTAAGATTATATAAGTTATAGCAAAGCCACAGAGCATGGAGCATGCCTGTTCCCTGGAGGATCAGACCTCAACCAATAAAAAGAATATGACCCATACTGGTTGAACTCGTAATCATCGAGGAAAAGGGGGTAAAGATTGAAGACAAATGTGTAGGAAAGCTTACTAGCATTTATAAATTTTAGCTATTCTTTCAATCAAGCACTTAATCGACTTCTATAATCAATCAAGCATTGGTAGGGTTCAACTTCGTTGCTTATAAATACAATGAGACTGAAGATCGGGCAGCTTTGCCACATCCCTCATCCTTTGTGCTGTTGTGCCGAGTTTATATAATGTTGGTTTTATTACCATTGTATAGACTTCATCGCTAGGGTATGTTAAATCATTTTAAAGTTGTAACTGGAATATTTAGACTAATTCATTGTGAAAAACTATTAAAAAAATGAAAAGTTGGTGCAATTTATAGAAAAGAAACAACAATTTAGAACAGGGAAAGTGGGCACAGCTCGTAGGATGAAAGCATCTGCCAATTACTTCCGCAGGGTTGAACAAATATAAAAGCTTCAATGTTCCACTAAAGTAAGATGATAGAGTACCGTCTCAGTTATCATTTCTAAAATCCTCATCATCCTACAAACAAATTCATAAGAAAAGCGACGACTTGTAGATGGCACTAATTCTTCAATGCAGTTGCAACACTAAGCCCCATCTGCTAATGTCCTCTTTGATGTACTGATATAAAGAACTGCACAAGTGAAATGAAATTCACCATCATTGCCATCACAAATGTATAAGTGAAAATTTATATAAAAAAAAGAAAGTGAAATAAAAAATTAAGTCTAAGTAATAGTTACCATTATTTCCACGAATGAATGCATCACCATATTTATTTTTTAACTGTCCATTGACATATTCTTCTGTTTGCTCCATGGCTATATTCATATATCCATCTAGGCAAGCTAGAATACCTGCAAATTGGGGGAGGAAGGAATTTAAGGACATAAAACTCCAGGAAAGCCAAAAGTACTGTATTGCAATAAATAGACCGAGAATTCAAACTCGAATGGCAGTTCTTCTGGCTTTCTGAAACACTTATAGAGAAAAGGGAGGGGTGCAAAGCTTACACATTAACTATCACCCTTTTATATATTCAGGAAAGAAATTTCATAATATACATGTTGTTCACTATCTCTGGTATGGGTGCACAGGTGTCTCAAATATCTTTGGAGAAAATTTGCTAAATCATTGAACAATATACAATAGGCGAGTGGTAATTTCCACACAAGATATTTAAACTAACTACCCTCAACCATTATATAAACTATAAGACACTTGAGAAACTAACCAGTACTCATTTCCCTTTCCTGAGTGTTTGAGCTAAAATTTAGACATACACAAAAGAGAAAGAGAGACTTTATAGAATAAACCAGAGAAAAACCACTCAAACAAGCTGTCAATGCACATCATTTCATATCTCCAACAACAGACGATGTGAAGATGTTCTATTTTTAATTTACTTCAGCACATTAACAATAACAATCACACCCCAAAATGCAGAAAAAATCATAAATAAATCTAAAAGCAAAATGGAACAGAAGCATACATAGATGAACAATAATAAAGTGAGAGGGCAGATGCAGAGAGAACAACCTCTATAATCAACACCAGAATTCAGTTTCACGACAACTGGTCGCCCACGAATTGATTTGAGGAAATCTGCAGGTGTTTTTGTAGTTGTTGACCCTTTCTCTCCTGCTCCACTCATCTTTCTTACAATAATTCGACAACACACCCCTGCAAACTATAAGAGAGTTTAGACTTCTACAATTATTAATTTGCCTACAATATATTCAAGGGAATAATCCTGTCAAGGTAAATATAGGAACTTGGAGAAGACAACAAGGAAGCCAGGAGGCCTTCTAGACTAGCGCCTATCAATATGTGTGTGTCTGTGTGTCTGTATGCTCGTGCATGTATACATGTACGCTTGTGTGTGTGTGTGTGTATGTGTGTGTGTGTATAAATCCAGACATATGAATTAATATATATATTAGCACCAACATCCAGAAGTATGAATGATAAATGAAAGCAAGAACCTGGTTTTTGCAATCCTTTTTTGAAAGAAACTACTATGAAATGAGGGACAAAAATAAATGAAGAGAAACCAATAATCAAAACAACTAAAAAAGAAATAAGAGAAGATTACTCTCCTTCTTTCTTTAAACTAAGTAAAAAACTACTAAAGGAAATGTTGTAGAACAGCTAACATAAAATTAACACACCTTAATACAACAAAGATCCAGCCTTTACCCTACAAATTATAATAGTCACGTTTATACTCCAAATCAAAGAAAAAGAAGAAAAATCTTACATTCACGTCCTCAGCAATGACAACAAAAATTTTCAAAAGCATTTTTGCAACATCAAAATTATGGCAGAAGGCCACAACAGTCACCAATAACAGAACTAACCCAACTCTTAATAATGATCTCAAACCTGACTTGTTTGAACCTTACTTTTCAATCTTGGCTGATACTAGATTAGGCAAAAGTGTAAAGGGTTCATGCTCTTATCAAAGGGAATTATAAGGAATACTTTTCCACACACTTAAGCAACTACTTAAAAGCGTGAACAAAATTTTCTCTTAGAAGGGAAACAAAGGGCAGGTGGGCTACATATAACCCATGCCAATCCTCATTTCCTGGCTAATTCGTATGGAATTCACTGAAGAAAAATGACATTCCTATGATACCATAAACCATAGAACCATCACAAAAAGGAAAATAGCCAGAAAATCATGGCTCAAACTTACAGTAAGTATAGAATCAGAGAACCAATTGAAGAAATGGAAAATAAAGAGAAAGGGAAAAGAGACCTATCTAAACTATAGCTCAAATTCTGAAGGCTCCAAGCCTCCAACCCAAGCTCAACCTAAGTAGAAATCAACTACATATATCCAAATCTCAAGCTAGTCCATGGTTTAAATCACAACTGAATATGCCATGGTTTAACAGTCTTTCTCTTTTGTAATGAGACACTAATACAAAAGCAGTAAAAACAACTTCAACCTAATAGCTCCTTTAGAAAACACCTATTTCCACCCCCACTTGAATTTGCAGCTTTTGAGTATGATAAAGAAGTGAAAATAAACTTTACACCGTACCCAACAAATAAAAAGGAAGTAATGAAAAAACATTAAATCAAGAAAAGTTTCATATGTGTAATAACTAATTACCCATTTGTTGCGAAAAATACACAAACAGTAAAAGCATTTTGTACTTTAGCAACCGGATTGGCAAACAAAAAAAAAAAAGAAAGGCACTTCAAGCTCTGTATTCACCCAATTTAAAACGTACCAACAAATTGCAAACATAGCATGTGACCTCAAAATTCCCCACCCTCTTTCGTGAACAATAATGTATCAGTAAACCCTATAAAGAAACAAAAGCTAATACTTTTCCACCTAAAACTTTAACAGGTAAATACTTTTCTAAATAAAAAAGGAAAAACATCCCATAAATAATGAAAATAAGGCCTACTCTAAAGCAAGCTTCAGTTAACTAGGAAATTCGAACACCTACAACCTTTGAACTGAAAAGAACATAATACATTCAAAAGGGTACCCAAAAATATAAAACGAAATCATAGAAATATAATTGGGCAAATACATAGGTTATGCCAAATGGGTTTTCAAGCTAATTCACGATCCGAAAATGTTACAAGTTGAAAAGCCAAAAGCTTACTGAACAGATAGCCAAACAAGATACTATCAAGCTGAGCCAATTATCCCAATGAAATTAAAAGAAAAAGAAAACACCCATAAAAACAAAGGGTAAAATAAAGTTTTAATCTGAATCCGAAATACGAGATCAGTTTACAGCAAACTCGAGCTTACCTCCTCGAGTGACTTGATCAGTTCGATGACATTTCACAAGGAAAATGGCCGACTCTATTTGCTTTTATATTTTGGGGAATTATTAGGTAAACGAGTCGTTTAACGTCCTTCCCCCAGTTTCACTCCTTTTTCTCAGTAAATTACAATTTACCCCACTGAAGTCCCAAAACTACAAATTTGCCCCGTAAAACCTTTTTTCAGGTTTTTTCCTCTTGTCCGTTTGGCTCAATTTTTGGCATTGCGACAACATTAAATTAGACAGAAAATTTTGATTAAAATCTTTTTATTTTAATGAATTTATTCTCAATCATAAACATAAATAAAAATTTATTATTGCAATTACTTTCCATCCTAATTTTTAATTGCTAAATTCGCTCAATCAAACCTTAATAGATTAGTTGGAATTTAGATGATATTATTATTATTACAATTAAGACTAGACGTAACGATTTATTACATATCTTTAATGAATTAAATTTAAAATTCAGATTTTCTTTCTTTTTTTTAACATTTTTATAAATACAAAAAATATTGGATATTACCAAGTCAATACTAATACATAAATAATGGAAACAGTTACATTAGATGTTACAAAAAAAATAAAAAAAATACCAAGTCAATTAATAAAATTATTTAAAAATAAATTTTATAGTAAAAATATGTATTCAGTAAAAAATATATTAGTGTGTTATTTTTTCTTAAACTTAGAATTTATGTTGAAACTCACATTTATGTCTATTTTTTCTCTCTTTCTAAAAATTTATTATATTAAGTGTCAAAAAATTTAAATTTCAAGAAGACAAATTTATTTCCTCTCAAATCACATGTTAATTTTTTATTATTTAACTTAATTTTTTATGTCCATGAAGGTTTTTATTTTTTCATAAAATCATAATATTGGCTATAGTGCAGGGTTTAGTTGGATGTCTTGTAGTAATAAACTTTTACAAAATGACTAATTATCTCTTCTATAAAACAATGATTAAAAATCATATCTTTTTCATTTTTTGCCTTTTATAAAATTATTTCTTGTCATACGAATTTTCACTATAGAGTAAATTAAAAGCAAACTATAATTGATTACAATTTAATATTTAACTTGAAAGTTGCAGGTTCAAATCTTGGAAAAAAAGAAATTAAGTTTATATACTTTGTATTATATAATTCAAATCCTATGAATTTTTATATAAACTAGTAATTAATTAAAAATAAACAAATAACCAAAATGTAACATTAAATTGATTGTAACATGACTAGGTAAAAAAAATCTAGTTTGAGGATATTTATTTATATAAAAGTAACATCATGCAATTTTTTTTATAAAAAGAATTAGTATACTTATTAAAAATAATTAATAAATTTTTTAAATTTTTTATTATTTTTAATACTTTTTTTTTAAAAGAATTAGTATATTTATTATATTTGTCAAATTTTATACCCAATTATAATTTCACAAAAATATATTCACTTTTCCCCTTTTGACATCTTTCATGAATTTTATTTTTTTACTACTTTGATAAAAAAAAGACTCTTGAATAGGAAACAAAACTTCAAATTAAATTTTTTAAAATAATACTCGATATAAGAGAAGTGAGAACATATTTTTTATAATGTGTCTAATTAAATTATATTATAATATTTATTCTGTAACAAACTACTATAACATTAAAATTGCAATGATCACATTACAGTAAATGGATGTAAGATGATTGTAATCTAAAATCATTACAATTATATTTAATTGCACTTTGTAATATTATTAAAAATATTTGTATCTTTTAACTTTATTATTTTATTAAAGATATTTTATAATATTATAATTTATTTTTTATATATATAGATTTCAATAATACCTCTTTATTACTATCAACAACCCTTTCTATTAAATGTTAGATGATAATTGTTAGTAAAATTTATATTATTTTTAAAAAAAATTAAAATAAAAGTTAAAATACTCTGACACATCTTAAATTTTAATCAAAATTTCAAGTAAGTTCATTAGTTTTTAAAATTGACACTTTCACCTAAAAAATGTAAACACTATTAATTGATATGATAAAAGGACTAAAATGTTATTTTTTATTAATTTAAAAAATATTATTTTATATTTTAAAAAATAAAAAATGTGCTCTTCAACACCCTAAGAAAAGGGGGCATCAACCAATGCTCCCCAAGAAAGGGGATCACTAACGGTACTTCCTTCTTTTAAAAGATTAATAAAAATTATCTAATTGTAATTTTTAAAATTAATAAAATATAAAATTATCATTTTAATATTATCACGTTTGTAAACATTAATGATTGACTAATGACTAGACTTATATTTAACGGAAGATTTTTTTTAGGACAAAGTATTAATTTGAAAACTAATAAATTCGTTTGAAATTTTTATTAAAATTTAAGAGAGTTAAAGCTATTTCACTCTAAAATAAAACATATAAAAAAAATAAAATATTCTCATCTTTAACTTTTAACCACAGTTTCATGTGAGTCTATTAATTTTTGGAATAAATAATCTGCTTCACAAAAATATCTTTAGCTTGATATATAAATCTAATCATTAATTAATTATTAATATTTTTATTAATTTAATAATATAACAATATTAAAAAGATAAATTTTTTTTGTTAATTTTAAAAATTATTTCCATATAAATTATAAGTTTTTATTTTTAAAATTTTTTTTCTTGCAAAAAAAATTTCTCTCCCTATGAGAGGGGAGCACCGATCGAATGCTCCCAGTTGGAGGAGAGCACCTACCATGGGGTGGTTGGCCGACGAATGGAAGCGACGTGGACCGACCACATTGTTTGAAAAAAAAAAAGAGAGAAAGTCTTTTAATATATTTTTATTAACAATATTTATATTTTTAAATTTCATTATCTATTGCAAAAACTAATAAACTCACATAAAATCATAATTAAAAAGTGAAAATATTTTACCTTAAAAGAAATTATAATAAAAAAAAGATATATTAAAATTATAATAAAAATAAAATATATAATATTAAAAATGTATTATATAAAAATTAATAATAAAATATAAAAATATATTAAATTTATATTTTAATAAATAAAAATAATTTTAAAATTTAATATTATATCCCAACAAAATAATTGTAAACGATATTCTCTTGCTTACATTTAATCATCACTTTCCAAATATATATAGCAAGCAATTCAATATTGTTTTGCTACAATCACATGGATTCCATAACTGTCATCAGCGAATGCCATCTAAAACTGGACAACGACCAACGTGAGACCATCTGCAGTCTCACAGCTTCTACATTCTGATGTACTAAACAGCTCTGATTTCTCTCCGATTCCGAAACCATGTACACATTGAAAAGACCACTTTCTCACTCCTTCAGATTTAACATCTCCAATTTCACATCTCTCCGATCCTCAACAAAAACATATCAAGCCAATGAAACAATCAGTTCCCAGAATCCCATTTTCAGTGCCAAGTTTCCTGATCCAACCATGCCATTTTTCTCTGCAAATTCACCTTCGTTGTTGAGGATAAATACCCACTTCCCAAATTCATTGATACATCCAAGACTGACTTCTAGGACTCAAACTTTTCCCCAAATCAGGAACTTTTGTAGTAAACAGTCAAACCCAAATGCTGAACTTTCTGCTTCAAATGATATACCAGTTGCTTCCGCTATCATTCCACCAATTCAGAGCTCTCAGCCTATTGATGCAGCGTCTTCAATGAGAAAACCAATCAGTTTATGGCCTGGAATGTACCATTCTCCTGTAACACATGCTTTATGGGTAGCAAGATCAAGCATGTTTGAGAAAAGTGCCGGTGACAAGCAATATTCACAAAGTGAATTGGTTGCAAAAACCCCTTCAAGGAGCAAGACTTGTATTGATTATAAGTTTTCTTCTGATTATATACTTAGGGAACACTATAGGAATCCTTGGGATGAGTTTAGGATGGGGAAATTGCTTGAGGATCTGGATGCTCTCGCTGGAACCATCTCATACAAGGTACTACTATGAAATTTAAAATCTTTTGTGAAATTTAAATTTAAAGTCTTCTGATGGCATATATATTGTAGTATGTTCGTACTAAAGCTTGTTTGAGTTAAGACTGGTGATAAGTGCTTGAAATTTGCTGAAATATATGCAAGCTCTGACAGGTTATCTATTTTGATATAACTGATAATAAAATTTCCAACTTTACGTAATTATTTTCTTTGCTTTGGACCAGCACTGTCGGAATGATGATGGTGCAACAAGGCCTATATTATTGGTTACTGCTTCTGTTGACAGGATGGTTTTGAAGAAACCAATCTATGTTGACTTTGATTTGAAAATATCCGGTGCTGTTACATGGGTTGGGAGGTCATCTATGGAGATTCAGCTGGAAGTAACTCAATCCACACAAGGTAGAGCAGAATAAATGCTAGTTCTTTTGTTTTCAATTTTTATATGGTCTGTGGTTGGCTGCAGATAATTTTCACATGTCTGGCTGTCTATTCGTTCCTTCTGGTTCCGAATGTCCATCATCCTATAGTGGCTTTGTTGGACAACAACCTGTGAACATAACTTGATTATACATTTGAGTTTTGCTGAACATAATTAAGGGCAGTGGAGAAGCAATGTTTGTGAATAGCTTCTTGTTATTTTTAGTTGAGTTTGCAGCTAGCTTTAGTTGATCATTATTCTGGTACACCGATAATCTGGAAAGTGTTAGAGAAGAAAAGTTGCCTTTCACATTGTTATTCTTACCCTTTATCAAATTTTTATGCTGCTTATATACTTCACACTGGATGTGATGATAAAGGTCTTTCTTCCTCTTCGTAGATGCATGATGTTGGTTTATTTTAATCATCCATGTACATATCATACAGTTTTTACATGAAGATACTGTGATATTAACCCAAAAGATTAATAACAGGAACCTTGGGTTAATCTCAGATATTAGGATGTCATAGAGAGCTTTGGCTTGTTGGGATTGAATATGGGGCTAGGTGAGGAGCTCTTTCCCTTAACTCTTATTTGGAATGCTTGAATTCCTCCATGGGTCATTTTTGAGAAAATGGTGTCATCTCTCAACAGTGAGAGTACCAAATATAACAGTCGATCACCCAGTCACATATCTTAAGCCTCTTTATTATAAGATGAGTTCTTATCACTTCGTTAGTGACATTGCTCCTTCCAGCCTACTAATAGATGCTTCCTAGCCTAATTAAGAGGGGACTGCTCTAGACAATTCATAACTCTTGTCACTACTTTCTCTTTGTAAACCATGTTAATACTGCTTGTGGACACTAGCTTTCCCTTTTATTACTCCATCTGTTAGGTGCTCACCACTTTCCTTAGAGGCATAATGTTTACCCCGCATGCTTTCCACTATCACCCAAATTTTTTCTCACTTTTCATGGTACTCAAGCACAGGAAAGGCTGCCTAATCCTCCTTTTTGACCTCTCTATGTCTTCCTACTGACTCAGTTGCAATACTATCTCATCTCTCTATGGAAAAAAAGGAAAAACCCTCCAGAAAGGTAAACTGTTGTAGCAAATTGTCTTAACGTGCTGAGAATAAATTCTGTTCCAAGCAAGGAATAAGCTGGACTGATGTGCTCAAGAGCTTATAGGGGAATGGGCAGATCAATACTTTTGCCTGAATTTTAGCCAGTGCTGCTTATGGCATTCAAATCCACTCCGTATATCAGTATATCATCTTGCAAATGGCAATTAGCACCTCCATCATATTACATACTCTTTAAATGTTATTTGTTCTTTCAAAGGTGTCTCCAAACATCTTAGTTCTTATATCAATGTTCTTCGTATACCCTGCTGCCGCCTGAACTATTTTTTTGTTGACAAGTTGTTTCTGCTCTCTTGTTCAACTTTTTCTGGCTTCTTTGTGGCCCATTATTCTCTGTAGGATGCTTGCAGGATCTGTTTCAACTTTCAAAAAGGCCCACATTCAGGCCTGTGATCCCAGGATTTAGAGAAGTGTATATATACCAAATTAATTTCTATCCAACAGAAATAACATTCATAGACACTGCTGAGCAAAATATTTTTAATGTTTTTGACTTTCTGAGAGTTCATAAAAAGCCCTCTGATTTTGGTGACACTCTGCTCGAATAGATTGATTTTCTGTGATTTTTAAATTTTGTGTGTGTGTGTGTGTGAAGTAAAAATGACAAAAAATTAAGATGTAAAACCTCCTGAAAATTGCTGGTTCTATATAATCCCTTCTTATGATTTATTTTGGGACTCAATAATGTGCTTAATTCTAAATATCAAGTTTCTTTGGAATTTTGAAGTTACATCTGTTGTGCTTAGCTACATTCTAATGTAAATTTTTTTTTGTAGATTCTCCAAATCCATCTGATTCAATTGCTCTTGTGGCAAACTTCACATTCGTGGCCCGTGACTCCCAAACAGGAAAATCAGCTCCAATTAACCAGATCTTGCCTGAAACTGAACGTGAAATATTGTTATGGAAAGAAGCAGAAGAAAGGAACAAAATCAGAAAGCAGAAGAGAGCAGAACAAAAGAAGGATGTAAATAAGAGTGATGAAGACAGACTTTACTCATTGTTGGCTGAAGGGCGGGTTTTCTGCGACATGCCAGCATTGGCAGACAGAGATAGCATTCTTATTAGAGACACTTGTCATGAGAATTCTTTGATATGCCAACCACAGCAAAGGAATATTCATGGTCGGATATTTGGAGGATTTTTGATGCGGAAAGCATTTGAACTGGCCTTCTCAAATGCTTATGCCTTTGCTGGTGCAGCACCTTGTTTTTTGGAAGTTGATCATATTGACTTCCTTAAACCTGTAAGTAGCTATTACTATTTAGAAAGGTCTAAATTAAATTTGCAGTAACTAATCTTGACAGCACATACAGTGGACCTTTTGTTCCCTGGATCTTGATAGCTTGTCTTTTATAGAGAGGGGACCTCACGTTGTGCACAATGATAATTGATGATGTAAATAGTGGTTATGTTGGTGAAGTTTGAGGTTGGAGTCTCCTGTTTCCTTTTTTAAGCTGAAACGGTTGAAGGAATAATTGTAACTTTCACAAGAAACTCATACACGCAGTTTCCTAAGCGTGCAATGAGCAACATGAGAGAGAGAGAGTGTTTGAGAGCTTGTAAATCCATTATGTAGAAAGCTGTGCTGAAATTTACTTTGAACATTTTCATTTTGTTTTATTTATATATTTGAAATGATAAGGAAACAAACAACACAGTTCTCATGAATACTTTTTGCTGATGCAGGTGGATGTTGGAAATTTCCTTCGTCTCAAATCTTGTGTTTTGTACACAGAACTTGAGAATCCTGCTAAACCTCTGATAAATGTGGAAGTGGTAGCTCATGTCACAAGGCCTGAGCTAAGGTCCAGCGAAGTAAGTATCTAAATCAAACTGTATAAGAATGAAAGGACTTATGGAATAATTTGTTAGCTGGGTTGAGCACTGTCATCCTTCGTTCTTTAAAGATGTTTCACTTTCTAGCTTTTCTAGCAGGTTAGATATCAAATTGGCATTCAACCCTGAGGGTAACTGTCTAGAACCTCCAACCCTAAATGAAAAATTCAACAAAATTGAATGTATGTGTGTGTGTGTGTGTGTATATTTGTGTTGTGTGTGGTCATATGTATGCATGCGCATAGACCATCTTAAATGCTTTGAAGGGCCATAGAGTACGTCCAAAATTAGTGGCAGTTGCAATATAATACCTAGATGTTTAATTATCTCCTTTCAAGTTATGCTTTCTCTTACGCATGTTCTTGAATTTAGTGATTGGAATGCAGTATTTATCTTTGGTTAATTTTATGCAATTTGAATAGGTATCCAACAAATTCTACTTCACATTTACTGTCCGACCTGAGGCCATGAAAGAGGGATTAAGGATTCGCAACGTGGTTCCAGCAACTGAAGAGGAAGCACGACGGGTGCTTGAACGTATGGATGCTGAGAGCTCCCAATAGGCACAATTATGAAGACTCTCTGTCAAGAGGAAGAAATGACATAAACCTCTTGTTTTACAACTCCAAGATGTTATTAATAAGCATCCTTGGAATAGCAAAATGCATATTGACGTTTTGCTCATTCATTTGAATCTATATCTGTATCTAAAATCCAAGGTCGACAGGTATTATATCCATTTGAAGCTTGGAATACAGCACTCTTAAACTCCCTTCACATTGTCAAGGATTCAATGATGGAAATATTTCTATCTGAATCTCACAAGAGCAGATAGACTTTGCGAGCATGGGAATGCATGTCACTCTGCTCTTTTGGACAGGGGGCGATGTCTTTTGACCAGGACCAATCTGCTCTCTCTCTCTTTCTCTCTCCCTAATAAAAGAATGCCAGATCAAACCACAGTGCACAGGCCTCACAGCCACAAGTGGAAACTGGCGTCACTCTTTTTGATTTGATTGGACAGAAGTCTTCAGTTGGTTGTCCCCAGTAGTAACCATGACTTATTTCTCATTCCAGTACAAAAAAATATTTGGCAGGCACGCCGGTTAAACACTACAGATCCATCATTGTGCTTCTGTCGTTGAACATAAACTTCAAATGAGTCTAATTTATTTACAAGATAGATTTACCTTTTTTAGCTATACTACATTATTACCTCCTGATATAACTTCCTCCCGTATATTACATAGAGCAAAACAGCTTCCAAAATCCTGTAAGTCAATATATTTAAGTACAAATTTAACCAACAAAAAAGAGATTACATTATATATATGTTGAGATTTACGCACAAGCGCATTTGCACTGCCTGCTGCATTCTGAAATTTAACCTGCTTAGATATGCAGATGTGAGGCACTGATCAGGAGCTAAGATGAGGATGAGGAGCTTTCATCGTCGGAGGAACCATAATGCTGCCTTACGTTGAGTCCAGGAAAAACTGGTAGATGGGTAGGATTTGGCAATGGACGCACCGAGCTGTATATTGTTCTCTCATTGACCTTTGCAACTTCCTTGCAGACTTGATCAAGAATAGAAAGGAAGTCCCTTACAACCATAAAAATCCTGAAAGGATGAGCTTCTTCCTTAGCCGAGTTCCCATGGAAATACTCTGTTATCTCCTTCACCATAGAGAGAGCAACTCTCTCTTGGGTTTGGATCCTTACAATCTCTTCCTCCGTCTTCTTCAGGAACTCATTCATTGACTCAGAGAATTTGCGCCTACTGTCTTTTAACGCAATCTCTTCATTTAATTTTATAACTTCTCTGATTTTAGGGATACCACTAGCAAGTTTTGCCACCTCAATACTGAGAACATCTGAATCCATAGCAGCAGCCTTCTTCACATTAGTGAGCTCCCCACTCAGCCCAGAAACAACTAGCAGTCCGAGCTTCCTAAATTCAACATCATCCTGAATATCCGATCGCTGAATTTTCTCAGCTTTCAGATTCTGATTGGCACCAGAAAGGTGAGAACCTTCAGCTCTGATAATTTCCTGCACAACAAAATGCAAAAGTGTGGTTTTCCCATCAGTGCCCTTTACATCAACAAGCTTTAAGAGCGTGTCAAGCTTGAAGGCATGGGCATCGCCGCGATTGGTGCCAACATTCATGCGGTTCCCAGTTTTGAGCACTGCCTCTAAAAGCTTCAGAAACATTCTGCTGTTTCGCAACTCTCCACAAGCAGCCTGCAGAGATATAAGTTTCAGTAATGAGAAAATTACCACACAACAGTAAATTGAAATATCAAAATCCTTCATTTCAAATAGATACAACCCCAAACATCATGCTCAGTATACAGCTTTATCTAATGCAAATTGGTGAAATTGTGCATTGTTGCCCCAAATGTTATTGACTAAACATAGTCTTCACCTCCATGGAGCTCGATTACCGTAAGCATTTTCACTTATATTGGGGCAGTAGTCATAAGGATTTCTACCAGAGAAAAACATCATAATGAAGTTTTTCTTCCTTCACAGCAATAGAAATAGAGATGTTTCAACAGTTCCCAATTTTCCCAATTCTTATGTGGAAATCCACCCAAAGATAACAAAAGCTCATTTATTAATGAAATTATATCCGGGAACTGCATTAAGTATTACACACCAACTCTCATTGGATGCAGAGTTTACAACCATTGAATAAAAGCCAAGATTATGGTATCAAAGATTACTTAGCCGGAATATCATATACCCACTAGCTGCTTTGTACAGAGTTTAACGCCATTGAAATGAATCCAAGCTCATGATTAGGGAGATTACTTGGCTAATGAGGAAAAAGGAAATGTTATCCTCTTAGGCAGTAGGCAAGCTTCTTACTCAGGAAAATTGGGGATATAGGTGTAAATTAATGACTCTCAGTTGGATGTTTTTTATCTGAGCCAGGTAAAGACACAGAAGATATGATAGATTAATGAGACACACTGAAGCTCCTCATAAGCATCTTTCTATAGTAAATCTGATCCCTAAAAGATAGAGAAAAAAGAAGCAAAAATGAAGAAAAACAACAAAGAAATTTTCCTATTTTAAACTTGTTAACTTTTAACTTGCAGCAAGCTACTGCAACTGAGTTTGCTAAAGTCCTATAGAATGTGTTTATCAAGAATAAGTTTTTATTATGGTCCACGAGAAAAAATTATAAAGCTAGCAATGATGAAGAACTATCCGTAGATACAAGATTCACGACAGACATCTTAGTGGTTTCCCAATAAACCAGAAGCACACAAATGCACACAGATTGGAAATTAAGATGTACCTCTAAAGTTTCAAAAGATCTCTTCAGATACTCAATTTCAGAGTCAAAATTAGCAATGTAAAGCATTGCATCAACCCTCTTGAAGGCAAAAGGTATGTCAAGCACCGCTTTCAGGAATTTCTCGGCGGGACCTAGCTTAAAAGGTGATTCATCTTTGAAATCCTTCAGCTTATGCTCTTCTTCTTTGGTTGGAGCCATCTTTAATAAGCTTTCCAGGAGCTCTGTCCCAAGTGTGTCTGAATTGCCTGTTTGCACAGAAAGAAGCTAAAGCAGTTTAGAGGTAAAATAAATGGTGAGGATGGAGAGGGAAACAAGGAAAGATGGAAGGAGGGGATGGGGAGAAGCGATGCAGCGGGTTGTCCCATCAAGTAAAATTTTTGCAACTATAGTTTGAAAGGCAATTAAGTGTACAATTTTGTTCAAGAAATAGCATCTGTAAACTGGAGATAGAAGGGCAACCATTTTCCGCAAAATCTTTAAAGCAATTATAACCAGCATGTAATCCACTGTTATGTTCTCCAGGGCATTGCCATCCTATATCATACATGTAGCCCTCTTGAAAATGAATAGACAAATGGACAATAGATAGCCAAATAGGTGACACCTCAGAAACCTGTCTCAACTTTCAACTGGACAGATTTTCAAGTAGTCTCAAGGAAAGAGAATTATTGCTTTTCTAACTATAAATGCTCCACATGCTATTTTTATTTTATTTGTGAATGAGAGATGAGATTTCCTTGGTTGGGAAAGGCTTTTAATTAACCACCATCAAGGTCACGGCATATCTTCCATTCAGGCTCTTCAGAAAGTAAATATGAGTTATTGCAAACGTCCTGGTCTTTTTTATGACTGTTTGGTTTGAATATTGAACTCAATATTTTATGGCTGTGGCACAACTAAATCATATCAAGCCTGGACCTCTGATGCATTGGAATGTGACTAGACTCTAGAAAGTATCTTTCCTAGTTTCCTTCTTTCCTTTTCTAGAATCTATACCATTGTTTTTCTTAAGTATAATCCTCTAAAGTCCACTTCTACCATCCATGACCATTGGTTGTCAAAGAAAAATTTTGTTCCTCATTTATTGCTCTATCTTTTACTGATTCTTTATATTTGCAACGCATATGAAATGATTACCTTCCATAAGTGCTTCACAGACTTCATCAATGGTCACATTCAGTGCCCTCAATAAAATTGCAATGTTCTGAGACTTCTTTGGATCAAGCACACGATTTTCGTGATTCACAGAGGGCAGAATCTGCCGGCGACCATTGTCTTTTGTGGCCAAATTTGAATTATTCACCATAAACAGTGTCTCAATCATTTCTTCATTCAATCTGCAAGCACCATTATAACATTTTATTATTTACCAAACAACGTAGACGTAAAGTTATTGGATACCAAAAGAAGAAAAATTGTAAGCGAATTTGATATACTAGTAAGACAACACTAAATGAGAAAGAGAGAGATGTGAATATCTCACTGAAAAGAGCTTGCTTTTATCTGATCCCACACCATGGCCCGATCCGAACTCGCTCTAACTTTATCCCAATGCAAAGGCTTCAATTTCGGTTTCGGGGTCTCCTCACTGCTCCCTAAGCCCTCATTCTTCTTTGGCTGCTCATTCACAGCCAAATTTTGCAACACCACTGGCCTGGAAGGCGCAACAAGAACCGGAGGTCCCCCTGGATTAGTCTCGGAAACAGCCTTCACTGCAACAGGAACCTCCCAAAAACGCGGTGGAGGAAGAGGAGGAGGTGGCGGTGGCAGCTTCCTAAGCGCAATCCTTGATGGAGATTCCGTGTTCTGCCCCGAAAGACTTGAACCTCTATCCGGTGAATCCCTTTCTGAAGAAGACGAAGATAACCTTGTAGATGAAGCTGAAGTTGAAGAAGGGGTTTTGATTCTCACTGTATAGATGGGAACAACAGTATCTGGAGACTTGGATCTCTGACTCAACGGACTTGAGTTCAAGAATGAATTTGTAGGTGAACAAGAGTTGGAATAAGGGTAAGAAGCAGTTCTTGAGTTGAAGCTTCTACTCCCAAAGTTCTCACCTCGAAACTCCCTCCTTGAACTTGATCCTATTCTTGCTGGTGGACCTCGTGGTGGACTCTCTCTTCTGCCTGAAGACCCTCTAGGCGAAAAAAACTCCTCTTCTTCATCTTCAACATTGTTTTCAAAACTACCGGTTTGTTCATTTTGGAGAAACTGCTCTCCACTTTGAAAAGTTTGTACTTTAGGCAATGGTGGCAATGGTTTTAGCTCTGGAGAGCCAAGTTTTTGATAAGGAGAAGATGTAACTCCCAGCCTGATACCTCCATTGCTAGAATGGGTTGTTTTTTCTGGGTCTACTCTAGAGTTTACAAGGGTGCCTAAGTAGAGAAACTCTGAGCTGCGGTTGGTTGAGACATAACGTGGCGGTTGGAGCGGTGGTTGTGGAGGTGGTGGCTTTTGGGAGGCATCTGATGGGGAAATGTTGGGAGGGAATAAGCGGAGGGAGTCTGAACGAGAAGCTTTGTCGTCTGACGAGGTGTTTTGGTGGCTGCGATGGCGGAGGAAGAGAGTGAGGGCGGCGATAGAGAGGATGATGGCGGCCAAAAGGAGGGAGGACGAAAGAGAGATGAGGAGGAGGTGGTGGCGGTGGGATGAGGGAGATGGAGAGCGGGGTATGAGCAGGGAGGAGATGTTGGCGGGAAAAGTTGGGAGAGTGGAAGGTGGAGGAGGGGGTGGAGGGGAAGGGAAGGAAGGAAAGAAAGGATTTTGAGGCGTGGAAGGGGGAGTTGTGGAGAAAGGATATTTGGGTTGTTGTTCTTGTTGTTGTTGGTTGTGATGAGGTTGGGGTTGTGGGGAGAGAAATGGGGAAGAAGAGGGGGGGTAGGTTGGTGGGGGGGAGGTTTGAGGAATAAAAGGTTGGTGGAGGAGGTGGCGGTGGTAGTGAACGGAAGTGGTGGTCGGTATGGTGGAGAGGAGGAGGAGGAGAAGGAGATGAAGGAGATCAGTCACGGTGGTTTTTGGCATTATTAATGTTTTTTATGTGAACCACACTCAACACCTTGAAACACAGTCTCTCTTTGACTGTTTTTGACTTAACATGGTCAGGGGGAGAGATGGAGACAGACAGAGAGAGAAGATTGTTAATTTTCTTAGATCATTCCTTTGAACAGAGAAGATTAAAAGGGAGAACTTTGTTCGTTTGCTTGCTATAGTGGAGTTTCTCAGTTTTCTCTTGAAGAGATGATTCAAGAATGCAGATGGGGTACTTTGGAAAGAGAAAGCAAAAAATGCAGAGGACCAAAACCAGACAATGGGAATTGGGAGGTCCAAGAAGGGAATGTTCCAAGTTCCAACTCAAAGAGAGAGCAGGCAGGAGGGACTACATGACTGAGTTGGAGAGGGCATATAGAGAGAGAAGAACAAGAGAATACTAAGAATGAGAGGGAACAGTAGGAGTAAAAGGAATGGTAGTTTAGACTTTAACAACAGGCACAGCACCCACACACACTTTCTAAACACTTTGTCTTTCACCTCTCTTCAGAGGTGAACTGAACTTTGAACAAAACACAATCTTTCAATGTAAAAACCTGATAGCAGTAACATAAATGTTTGAATATGTCTGAAGCTTGAGATGGAAGAGGTGGAAAGATCCAGGTGTGAGCATGGAAAGTGAGGAGGAAGGTGAAGACTCAGAAGAAAAAGTCAAGAAAATTTTCTGAAGAAGATGCACAAGAGGTTAAAAATCTCTAACAGACAGACATTGTTCATCATTGGGATTTGCATATCGTTTTTCCCTGTGCAGGGATTCCTGCAATTATAGCACATACATACTTCTGGGCATGGTTAAAGATGAGCTGGTTACACTGTAACCCTGTGACCGTGATAAGGAGTTGAAAGTGAATCCACCCAACAAAGCATTTCACACTTGGATTATGTTTATAAAGGAGTGGTCATTTTGGCTTTGTCCTCGCCACTGTTCACCGTATTGAAGCACTGATTCAGCATCTTAAAATCAGGCAAACTTGTTGGGGGAGGGAATTTGCATGAGCTCACTCTCTCGTGGGTGCGCGTGGGTATTGCAATTTGAGGGTTTGAAGACAGCAGGACGTCATAAATGGACATACGTCCATTTTTTCTCTTGACAAAATCTAAGAATACTCGAACTTAAAGGCTTTTCGTTTTTGGACACTTCAGTGCTCCTTTTGCCTAAGAAAGTGGTAAAAGGTTTTTTTAAGAATTGAGAAATTTAAATTCAATTATTATTTATTTTAAGTCAAATAACAATATGCTTAAAACACATAAACTTTTATTTTAAAAATAGGCATGAAATTTACTTTTAAGATTTTTAGATTGAAAAAGAATTTCCAATTGTAGAGGCGTGAAGAGGAAAAAAGAAATATAGCAAGGTAAAAGTTTTTTTAAAATAAATTGTTAATATTTTCTAATTAAACTAGTAATAGACTAGTTCAACAAGAGAAAATTAGTTTTTGATGTGTAATTCAGTAAAAAAATAAAAAAAAAATACTCATAGCATTTTATGTACTAACTCTTTCATTAATATCTATTTTGATTCGAATTTACCGTAATATTAATATCTCTAAAAAGGAATTTCATATCAATAAAAAGTAAAATAAACTCTAATATCAATGATTATAAACTTATATTTTTAATTTAAAAAATACATTTATTATGTGTAAAAAAATTATTATTTATGAATCAAAAATTCATTATTTATTTCTATTAACGTCAAATTCGTAACATATTTACATACAAATATTTTACTTAGACAACTATTACATCCGTGATTAATATTATCTTAATATAATTAATTGTCTCATATGTTATAATTGTTTGTCTTCTTTTAGTACCATAAATTTAGTTTTTTATTTCCTTCCTTTTTGTTGAATTTGAAAATCTCATGATAACAACTATTTTATTACCAATTAAGTCTAATAACTTTTCAAATTCAAACTCCTCTTTAAAAAAGAGAAATTTTTTTATTTTTAAACAAACCATCACTCTCAAACCAGTAATCCATGTTGCGACTACGTTGAGAAAAGGAGGGGGGCCCTCTTAGCCCATATTGTCAAAACTCAAACAGATTTGAGGGAAATTCTACAATCTATGACATGATGATGATGGGATGCTGCATTAATCATTTTTTACATCATAATAATAACGTTTAAAACATTGTTCTATTCATGCAATTCCATGAGCCTTTTGGTGATCTTGAACGTAATGATCGAATTCATCTCTGTTCGGATCATACTAATAAATTAATAGTGAAGATATTAATTAATAATAAGCAGGAGAATTTCATGATTAGTCGATGAAGTAAAAATTTAAAATATACCATTTTGGAAATGAAGTGTCCAATTATTAAACAAGTAAGATGGCGCTTAAAGGCATAAATATATACAAATTTTTATTAATTACATATATGATTGATGAAATAATTGCTAGCCTATTTTAGTAATTAGATGTCAATATTTGTGTAATTAATGAAAGAAGAATATAACACTGAACACCCCTTATACGTGGACCAAGGTTTTAAAATAAGCTAAGCAGCTCTAGAATTTGACGGGGCCTATATATGAAAGAGAAAGAAGTAGGACCATATCAAGGTGAAGTAGGAAAAAGTCGCTATCATTATTTACCAATACAAGGGTGGACAATTTATTTTCATGTCAAACCCTAGTCTTTAATTCTTTTCTTTCTTTTTTTTTTTAATAAGAATTCCTTATCATTTTACTCATAATATTAACACCTGCATTGTATAGCATTCCCTCAAACACTACATTATACGTCCTTTTCTTTTCCTCCATTTAGCTAACTTTTTTGACTTCTCCTTCTTTCCCTTTAGATAACCTACATTGCATATATATGTATATATATATATATATATTTATATACAATCAACCGTAATTTTATTGAATTAATCATGAGATATAGATAATACTCATTTTAGGTTAGGCAGAGTGGTTTTTTTAGGATGTAACCATATGTTAAAGTTTTCATTTCATGATTTAACATATTATTTCATTCAAAATAATATATAATCTTTTAGATTTTATTCATGTAAGAAAAATCAATGACTAGAAATTATCAAATATAACTAATAAGACTAATGATTACTCTGCGAAAGCACTTCTTAACAAATATAGATTCAATTTGTTTAATTTTTACTAATGGTATTCTCAAACTTTTACTATAAATTTACGTTAAACGAATAGAAATTTTAAAAATTATGTCTTAATTTAAATAAAAATAATAGAATAAATCTTCAATTGAAAATTTTGACAAACATTAGACCCTAAATGAGTATTTAACTGAATTTTTATCGGAAAGGTTAACATTCTTTTAAAAATTTATTATGTATGATACAACACACAAAGTAACTTAATTATGTTATTTTAATATTTTTATTTACAACTTATTGAAAAAAGTAAAAATTTCATATTTAAGTAAAAATAATACATTCGAATAAATTAAAAATAATAATATATAAAATTTGCATGATATTTTTCATCTGTAATAATTATCCAAGCTAACTTTCATATCCCCTTAAATAGTTATATTTATTATTTTTCAATTAAAAATCATGTGAAGATGCATTGAAATTTTCATATTTCAAAAAGATAATTATTCTCTCTATAAAAGCACATTTCAAAAATATTTAGCTCTTAAATTGATCAATTAATAAAGTTTACCATCAAAGTAGAATTTTATCTGATACATTGGGACGAACCAAACCTGCATTTCGCATGCCGCAAGCTACCCAAAGAAAAAATAAATAAATTTTGCGGCTTTTAAATGCACATGTACCATATCCAGCTCTCGATCCTTTGTTTTATTTATAAATAAGGTTATGCTAGCTAGCACGTACAATAAATTATTAAGTCTTTAATTTATTTTTTATTTCTTTTTTTTTTTGCTCTTTTTGGAAACAAGAAAAATCCAAAAAATAATAAAAATTACTAGCAATAAACGATATATATTTTAAGAATTAAAGTTCATATTTTTCATTGATGACAAACAATATTATTTTATTTTTATTCTTTTTTCATTTGTATTAAACAAATTATTTTTTGGGGTGAACTTGGGTCAGGCAATTTGCAGCATGTCAGAATGCGCTGCACATCTTTGACAATACACAACCAATAAATGAAATACTTATTAGCTCTGCCGACTGCCGGAGTGGGTACAATATTCCCAGACGGCATCACCAAAATCAGTTTGCCTTTTGCGAAGCTGTTATTTATTAAATGTACATGGAATGTATAGCATAAATTACTAGCTTTTATACAAAGAGAAAAGATTACGAAAGTGCAATGCATCATGCGAATACAGTATGTTTTTATAGATATTGTTTTCACTTGGAATATGAAATTCTGATTTCATCATTAATATCAAGATCAAGGATCCTAATTACCATTACATTATAATTCGTTTAAATTCAGACAAACAAAAATTATAAATTTCTTGAATCAAAAATGATTGTGGTTAAAAACTCAACTAAATGATGTAATTAATGCAAATTAAGATGCCATCACGTCAATGGGCAAATGATCAAATATAAAGCATTGATGAGATTGGAAGTGTTGTCCAATGGTTCATAACACTCTTTGCCAAGTGATTAAAGTTAGACATTCTAACCGACTAACCGTAACACTTTTGTGTATAGTTTCTCGTTTGTTTTGATTAGCAATCTACTTTATTTAATTTTCATCTCATTAATATCCTTATTATTAATAAAAATTAAAATACTCCTTTGTTTCATTTTCATCTAAAGTATAAGAAAGATCCTTTTTTTTAAAAAAGTAAAAAATAAATTGAAAAAATGAGAATAAACTTATTTCCTGTTACAAAAAATAAAAAAGTGCTTTCCAAGTTAATGTCATCTTGCAAGGGTTGAGGGGATAGAACGACGACGTAACAGTCGTCGCTAAAAAACAGATCACCTGAGCGCAACGAGATACCGTACAACATTTGAAAAGGACGAGCAATAATCTCAAGCCCGTGATTCACGTAGCCCCTAAAACGCTTACACGTGTCAGTTTCCATGTCGTCTCCCCGAATGAGAAAAATTCTCCATATTGAAATAAACCTCGAACACCGGATCCACTTCTGTTTTACCATATTACCCCTATAATTTAAAATTCAATTTTGTGAATTTAAATTTTGAGTAAGCACCAAAAGACAGAATATTCATACCATTCTTGATCCAAAAGATTTAAGAAAATAAAGAGAAAAAAGCTAACCCAAAAAAAGCGTAACACGAGATTTTGTTCTTTTATCTTTTCGAGAGAAGAAAAAATTCTTTATTGAATACTACCAAAAAGAACGTGAAAGGCAAAGCCTTTTTGCCATAAATCAGAATGTCGCGAACAACAAAAGGTTAGCCTTTTCGCGCGGTAAATGGGAACTAACCAAGTTAACAGCGGTTGGAGCGTCGAGTTTATCTTCTCATTTATTTGTAGATTATTATTTTATATATCAACCGTTGAGTTTTACAAATGAAATTTAAATATTATCACATGTTTATTAATTTTAATAAACATTCTTTTAATAAAACATAAGATAATATTTTTTAATTTTCGTTTGTCTAATTTACAAACTTTACTCTCGTATGTAGAATAATTTTCATCTACTTGCAACTCCTTTTCGCCTTTTTTTTTTTTATTTCCTATTCTTCTAAAGTGGTACCATTGTTATATACAGTAAAATGGCATGTTTTTCTTATGGGATTCCTTTAAAACAAAAAAGAATTCCTTCATTTTTGGTATAGGTACATACACCAAATAGTTTCGTAAAGAAATTGTGAATGTTAGGTGCATCAACCACATTTTATAAATTCTATTTATATAAATATATTTATAATTGTACGTCATAATATTAATTTTAAATGAAGTATCTTTTTAAAAAA